ATTTATGGTGAGATTGTCCTGTCAGCTGCTGTTTCCGAGGTCAAGAAGGAGCTTTGTATAGATGTACATACATGTTTAAACAATTCACCTTTCAACACCTAATCTGCATATTATGTCGTGCCTTTTAATGCACCGATTTCACTTCCTTGCTGAGCACCTTATCCCCTTATTTTCACCATCAAAAAACCCTCCCTTGCATCTTTTTTTTTTTTTTTTTAATCCTTCCTCTTATTCTCTCTCCCCGGAAGATTTTCGGGTCGGTTCGGCTCTCACAGGAATGCAGCTGTGAAACTTTTTCGGCGAGCTTAAGCCCAACTCTTGTGTGAACCGTGTCAAAACAAGCAGACATCACTTAGTCCACGAGAGCTGAGAGAGGCCGGCGGTTTCGGGTGGGGGGCCTCCTCTGAGCTGCCCGGCCCTCGAGGTCACCTGGCAATTAACCTCTGACCGGGCATGCGTGTCCCCGCCCCTATTTCTTAACGTGTCTTTTACTCTTTCGTCTCATTCCGCTACATTTCTCTGCGTATCCTCGGCTCTTTTCAAATTCTTGCCCGACACGCAGATAACCTTCAGAAACTCGGCACTCGAGTCACATTTCTGTTTTGTAGTTTTGCGTTTTTTTTCGGGGGGCCTTTCTTGGGGTCGCTAATGAAAGAAAGTACACAATCTAAACAGTAAAGGTTGTCCAAGAGCGACAAAACCAGCCGCAACTCCGTGTTTTACCCGTCCAGTCTCCTCCTTTAGCCCCCGTCCTCGTCTGTTCAGTCCAACTAATCGCCACCCTCCCTCTCCTCCCCACCACCCTCCCTCTCCTCCCCACCACCCTCCCAGTACATAACCCTTGACCCTACGCACCTCTTTGAATGTCACATGACCGTGCAGGTGTGGAGGGGTCTCGGCCCAGGCCAACCCCCAATTAGTGACCCTAATTTGTGGAGAAGCCCCCCCGATGGGCCGCTGAGCTGCTTTCTAGGAGGAGGAGGAGGAGGTTGGATGGAGGGACGGAGGGTGGAGAGCAGGGGGAGAAGAGGGTGGGGGTGTCATGGAAAGCGATGCATTCCTAAAGGCCTGTGGACCCTCCAGAATCACACACAAACACACACGAGGGCCGTTAAGAGAAAAAACAGAGCCAACACGGAGCTGAGAGTTCGTTTGTTGATGCACAACAAACAGCTTTGGAGTGCTGATGTGGAATTGATCTGCTGCTCAGTTCTAAACCAGTCGGACCAGTTGAGACCAGCAGGAAGCATCGGGGGGTCACATGACAGACAACGCGTCACGCATCATTTTGTTTGTATTGAAATAATAAAGTATTTCACTTTTCCTAAAATGCTGAAAAGTCTGATTATTTAACGTTTATTGTTTTTCAACAATTTATTAAATGTTTATAACGCGCAGTTGTGCTCAGCTATAAGGCCATAATAAGACTATATTATATTAAGACTAATTTTACTGTAATACTGTAAGGTAAAGTTGACAAATATGTGAAATAATAAATCAAATTAAGATCAACTACTGTAATAAATGTCATGTGAAGGCTAAATTTGGGGAGATGGAATTAAGGGTTCCCATTATATTTATTCCGTTAAAATATTTTAAGTGTTTTCCATAAATTACCTAAATTGTAAACGTGTTTTTTGTGGCGTCTTCAACTTTACAGCTTGTAAATTACTTCATTCAATACAACTGTGATGTTAACAGTTGATCAGGCAAAAATCATATCATGTTTTTTCATTATCAGTGGTTTCCAGTGGCAGGTGCAACAGTTGCAGCTTTGGTATAAATAATGTAGTTATTGAAATATACGAGTTGTCAATAAAACTGACATCTACATGTTTATGTTTATTAACATTCTTCCATGACCACCGAGTTCTCTCTACCTTCCTTTCCCTGTTAAACTGCGCACACACACACACACACACACACACACATCAAACTGCATAACCTTTAATCTATTAGTTAATACGGCCGCTAATGACAGACCCCCAATTAAAAACCACCAATAAAAACCCAATTAGTGGGGTTGTGTTGCTCCTCGCAGGAAGCGGTTTCCCACCACAGTGTGTCCCTCTGCCAGGCAGGGGCAGCTCCTCCTGTCCGACCCCGCCGACCCTCCTCCCCACCTCTGAAACAGGGCCACCCATCTGGTGTCCTTTCTGCCGGCCCTCTCGCCTTTTCCTCGCTCAAATAAAAGGTGCCAATCACTATAATTGGCACCCTGCAGGTCAATTGTCCCGGCATGGAATGGTGCCCCTCGCTGAAGTCTGGGGGATATGCGCTATACTTATAAAGTGAAGCCGGACATACGCTTGTGCTCGCTCTGCACGTTGCCCCGTGTACACACGGTGCTGCCAGAGTTTCAGTTGGAAATTGCTGAAGGTTTAAATCACAGCTGAACATTTTTTTTGGGGTCTTTTAAACAGATTCGAGCACCATGTCCCCCCCTGAACCACGTCTGTGTAGGTAACAGGTACTGCTTGATGTATTAACGCAAGAAGTACTCTCATCTTAAAGTACAAGTTGTTAAGTAGCTAAATTAAAAGTACTATTTAAGAATCAGGCATTTTACTGGACTACAATTATTGATGCATCAGTGTCAATGTGTTCATGATGTTGCAAAGCGATTTTGTTATTAAATTTAAAGAAGTGGAGTGAAAAGTAAACACTTTGTGTCACATTGTACTTAATCGAACTTGCAGCTTCACCTGCATGTTGTAAAAAAATTTTTTTCCACGAACCTTTCCTTCAGACATTAAGGTGAATAGCCATAGTCATTGCACGTATTGTAACATTCCACTTAATATCCCAAGGGCACAGCAATTCAGTCTTTGTTTGCACGTTTAATTCTGGTTTGGTTTGGTTGGTGGCAACGTATTTAAAAACGCTGGAGAAGGTGAAGCGTCCACTGGCTTGATATCTTTGCCACGCTGATGAGGACAGAGACGCCGGGGATTTGGATGAAGTGTTTAATAAAGGCCCGTCCTCAACCCACAGAGCCAAAGCATCTGGCTTCCTCGCCTTGTGAGCAGGTGAGAAAATGAAAACAGAACACAGGAGCCAAATTACATAGACATATATTTATATGCATATGAATAAAAATACATATACATATTGTACAATATCTTGGCCGAGCGTGAAAACCGCTCTGACAGCCCAGAAACAGAAGTAAGCCTCTTTAAATAAGTGCAAAATGTTAATGAGACAAAGAATTGTAAAGCATATATCTTTTTTTTATCCAGAATCTTCAGTCGCATTTTTGTTTTTCCAGTTGAAATCGCGTGGAGCGGACATGGAGATAACTTGTGCAAAGACCCATTTATATATATTCATATATAAATTTATATCTATGTACATAGCGTTTGTTCATCACAAGTAGTAGCTGGTGCCATAAGCTTGACATTAAGTAACTTTTACTGCTTCAAGAAAAGAAATGATGGCCTATGCGAGACCTCGGTTGTGCATAAAGGGAAGGAAAAAAAAAAAAGTAAACCAAGCAAAGGTCATTTTTGAAATAAAGGTACATTTCCACACAATCGTTTATGGATCGCCCATCAGAAAAGCTCAGGATGCGCTGCAGTGAGAAGCGCAGAAGGGCCTCAACGTCTCTGCGAAGTGCGAGATGTCACACATTGCACACAACAAAAAGAAAAAATGTCCAAACTCAGCCGGAACGAGACGAAGCCAAAGAAAAACCGACCGAAAATAAACAAAAACAAAAGGCTTTGTTCGACTCTCTCTGCGGAGGACCGGTGGTCCTCGGTCTCCACCAAAAGGACCGAGCGCACAACACGGGAACTGCAGATTAAACGTTACAAAACACCGCCGCGCAGAATATGGAGTCAGTGCGGCCTCCGAATGCCGAGGGACGCGCTGCTTATTTCAAGTGTGTCGCTCTCCCGTCACGCTGACCGACAACCAACCGGAAAAGGGATCGAACCGGAATGTTGTTTTTTTTTAGAGATATTGTTTTCACTCATTTGCGCTGCTGTAAACCGCGCAGCGTGGACAGCGGGGGAAACAAAAAAGAAAGAAAACACCCCGCGGCGAGAAGGAGAAGCGAGGGTTCGAGAAAGGCCGCAGCGGCCTCGCGCGAGGAGGCGGAAGTCTGCGCGTGACCTCTCGGCTCCGTCGCGCCGCTTAATATTTGATGCCGCAGCGTGTGAATTATTAATGGCGCGTAGAGAAAATGACGCGGTGTTCAACAACTGCATAGACGCACCGCTGCAAAGACCCGTGAGTGGATAACATGGGGGGGGGGGGGGGGGGCAAACATGGTGCAAACACAAATAGCAATTTGAAGAAAAATAAATTATTGTTACAAAAGCCAATGCTGCATCTTAAGCATGTGCGCACAGGTGAAGGTTTCCTGTAAAAATGTTTTTTGTCGTGATTGTGGATGATTATGATGCTGATGAAAAGTTGAGCTACTTATGAATAAGAAAAATGAGCTTTGGGGTATAAAAAAAACTCACGATTATTTTCATTCAAGTGTTGACCAAAAAAAAAAGTTGAAATCACAATTTTTCAGAGGCTGTGGGGAGCTACTGTCACATATGCAGTTTTTGTTAAGCTACTACCGGAATGAATAGAATGTTTGGTATTTTGGCTTGAAAAAAAGGGGACAAAAAGAAAAGTTGATAAAAAGTGTTTCCTGCCGATGGACAAAGCGATTGATCAAAGAATCACCGCAGCTCTAAACTCATCCACGCTGAAACAAAACCCTCCGGATGGAGGGCGACCAATGGACTCCTCTGTTTGGAGGACACAAGGGTGGAACCTCCAAAGCTTCCCCCGAGTCTGACCAGCTTCCTCACGCCACTATTCATCTCACCATCTTTCATGTTGATTTATCGGATTTGGATGTGGGATTTTTTTTGCAACATTCGTCCAGATTCTACCACGGATTATTTCATACACAAACACAAATAAAGAATTTACAAAAACTACTGCTGGACACCAAACAGACTGATAGTAAATGCTACGATTCTCTTTTCTTTTCTTTTTTTTTTGTGTTTCTTCCATATTGTGATTGCACATGAACTAAAAATCCAACATGGCCACTTGTTCTGAAAAGTGTACAAACCTCTGTCTTTGAAACGCCTCTCCGCTCATTCATCCGACTCTGATTCGATCCGAGCTATCTATGTCAAGTATTATAATTTCTTTTTCTTTTTCTTCCTGAACAGTAAAAGAAGGGCCTTTATAGAGAGAAAACCACACACACACACACACACACAAACTCACTGGACGAAAAGTGAAGAGTCACTTGAAACCACTGCAAAGAGAGTGGTGATAAAAACATCTGTCGGTCAGGTTTCACGCCAAACCTCCACACGGCATTTCTGCAAAAATTCACACGTTTTTTTTTTTTCTTCTTTTCTTTTTTTTTCACATGGTCATGTGGTGCGAGTCACTTTTTCACCATTTTGAGGGCCGACAGTTCTCCGGCACAAAATGGTGCCCCACAGAATCGGTTCTCCTCCTTTGTTCACATTTAACACGACCCCCCCCCCCCCACCCCTCTCCTCGTTGCTCAAACGCCAAACGGGCCGCACGGTGGACCGTCTGAGGGGGAAGGGGACAGCCCTCCGTCCAGGACGAGTCCCGGTCCCCGCGGTGTCCCAGAAAACGTCCGCGCTGCTTAGGAAACCGTCTTCTTCCCCCCCAGATCGGCCTCCTTCCTGTCCAGCCGCATGTACGGCTCAAAGGCCGAAGAGCCGCAGCCGTAGGCGGACGTCAGTTCGTGATGGGCGCCCCCCAGCAGCGGCATGGAGAAGCACAGGGAGTGCGGCGGCGGGAGGCCCAGCCGCGGTGAGGGCGGGGTGCCGCCCAGCGAGGGCAGCGACAGCCCGAACGTCCCGCCCGCCAGGGAGTTGGGAGGGGTGCTGCTGCTGTTCCCCGGGGAGGCGGAGGAGCCCCCGCCCGGGCTGCTCAGCAGGGAGCCGTTGCCCGGGTGCGGAGGCCCCAGGAGGGAGTTGGGCTGCGGGACGGGGCCCGAGAGGAGGCGGCCCTGCTCCAGGAGGCGCAGGATGTTGCAGGTGGCCAGCGACTCGTTGGAGGAGGAGGAGCGTTTGTCGGAGTCCTTGGTGGTGTCCTTCTTCTGTTTGGTCCGCCGGTTCTGGAACCAAACCTTGACCTGAAACAACCAGGAGGAAAGAGTCACTTTAAAACTCTCGTCACAAACAAACACTTTGTCAGCGGCAGAATCGGGCTAAATCAGAAGAACGGGACATGAAAGGGCTTCAGGCAGGGGACACCGACTAGAAAACCAAAAAGGTCAAAGTTATTCGGTGTGTTTTTCTCGTACCACAAAGCTTCCACTGCTAAAAGCGACCCGGAGCAGGTTGGAACACCGGTGACCTCTGCCTGGCGCAGGTCTCTGCTGCAGCACCTCGGCAGCGAGGGAGTCGTACGCGCAGAACTCCGTGCAGAACAAGCTGAGATGAAGTAATCCCCTGGCGGCAGCCATTGAATCGACTGCCGGTGTTCTCCGCCGCACATTTGATCACGCTCGGTTTCCACGCACTTTATACCTCCGCTACAACAACGGTGGCATGGCCATAAGGGGAGTGGGGGGGGGGCAGTGATATCAAGGCTTTACAGCAGAGGGGGAATAGTATGCGCGCAACGGGCTAAATATAGCTTTTGAAGATGGAGGAACAGAAGTATGAAAATGCACCGTATGTCAAGTTCGTCCGGCTTGAAAATATAAAAACGGTTGCCGAAAAATAAAAACAGTTTTAGCCGTCAGCAGGTCGAGGCGCGTGAACTCTGCCTGTGCTTCTGCGTGTTTAATTGATGCAGCGCAGCTCTTGATGTTCGCCGTGCGGTAAAGTCGCAGGCCTGGTGGGATGCTGATCGGAGGGCACGCCGGGGTCACAGCAGATCGCTGCACGAGGAGCGGAATCACACACATGAAAAATGTATACGACACCGACCGAGTTTCACTGCAGACTCACTACAGTGTCCCCACTCTGTGGCCTGCAGGGTGTGTGTGTGTGTGTGTTTATGACACATAGTTAAAGTTTGACAATGACATTAAAAATGATATTTGAAATCACTTGCAAGAAGAGCTCAGAAACAGGTTTTCTATTTTGGGCTCATTCAGTATTATATGTTTTATAACTGTGTACTAAGTAGGTCAGAGTCATTTTTGCTGAGTTAATTGTTGGCGCGTTGATTTGTTCCACCTTTGACCGAGAGCTCAAACATCCTTAAATGGGAATGAAATAAAAACAGAAAAAGAGCAAATCGGGTTGAGAGAATCTGGGATTTTTGGGGCCTTTTAGAGTAAGTTTAATCTTGTGAGCTTCTGATTGGTTAGTTGCACAGCATCTGAAAACCAGGAGCTTTTGTCATTGTGGTGATTGACAACAAAAAAACCACAAAGAAAATGTTCCAATGGATGAAGTGTGTTATTCCACACAACCACCACCGCTCCTCCAATTTACTTAAATTCAGTTTAATTTGATCGATCTTGTCTCATCTGTGAGGCCCTTTGGCTCCTCTGACTGTAGGCAAAGGTGCTACATAAACACAGCCGGGTGGCGTCCGACTGCGGGTCACCGGTTCAGCTGCTGAAACGCCGTGAGTGACGAGGAGGCTTCTCCTAATTTGGTGGCAATACGTCGTCAGCACAAACATAGCCGTCGACTGTGAGGTAATCGGGCTGGCTGGCGATGAGTAAAGTATCACTGCACTCTAAAAGCTCAGCGAGGGAGATCATGGTTTCGACTACTGACCACGGCACAAATAATGGGATCGGAGGGGATCCAGCAGCTCAGGGAGGAATAATGACGCTAGCAAGTCTTACTCTAGAAAACCCAGAAGGGGGCACAGGGAGGCAGATGGAGGCCGGAGGGAGGTGGTTGGGGGGGGGACACCAGGCCACGATGAGCTGAAATGATCTCTGTGTAGCTGCTTCTGTATTTCTCGTTAGCTCACAAGCTGCCGCTGGAAAAACTCTCTCTGTGCGTTTTACTCATGCGCCACCGCCTGCCAAACACCCACATCGCGTTAAAAGCTTTCACGACGGATGAAACGCTGTGGGTGCGGCTCGGTCTCCTGTTCACATCGCGGGCCTCCTCTCCACTGGGGGGGGGGGGCGTTTGATAGTGTTTCACTGGGTCTTATTAGAGGTGGAAAAACGATGAGAAGAGAGGAAAACAAAGCTGCTTGTGGTACATCTACACTATTGGATGTAAATCCTTTTTAATGGGATCCAGGGTTCAGAGCTGGGGCAGAGATTACCGAGGGAAATCTGGATCTGCCGTGACCTGCATCTGCCCCGGACTCGCCCTCTGCCCCCCTGCCCCCCTGCCCCGCTGCACTCTGGTCCACCCGGGCGAGGCCGCGGGAAGAATGGATCTGGCGTAATCGGGTTCTCCTTACTAACTAATACCCCCGACGCTGTGTTTCTAGGTCAAGTACACCTTTAACGGTGGTCGTCCTCTTTTCAAACTCATTTTGTTGAGTGTCAATTGATTTGATGTTTATTAAATGTAAAGAAAGTCGCCGCCGTTGAAAGAAAAGTCTTGTGTCCTAAAAGCAATCCCATGAAAAAACCCACCTGACTACCACTGAAGGTGTAGATCTTTACAAATGCTTTACAAAAAAAAGAAAAGTTCTAGCAATGTCCTGAATTTGATTTTTGAGTGCAAATCTAAAGAAAACAGTACATTGTTTTTGTCTTTCAAATACATTTTCTGACAAGAAGAGTTGCTGCTTGTGTACAGATAATTGGTTTTTGTGTGATTTGCACAGCAGAAAGGAGCGTTGGGTAAACAAAGACTTTTCCTCTCTTTTTCTTACTTTGCATGCAAAAGGTGTCTAGTATCGTTTAAGAATTCAAGTAAAGACATTGATTAGACGTCATTTTTTAGCTTCTACACGCTGGAACATTTTTCCCGTCGCTCTGAGGTCAGCTTCCACATTAAAACCACCTGTATTGACTTGTGTTTTCATCATTTCTACATAGCATTTAACTCCCTAAAATGATTTGTTTCAATTCCAAGTTGACTAAGACCACAGGCGTGCATGTGACGCACATTCTCACCTATCAAAATGAACCGTCTTTCATCCAATCGGATCGATTCAAATTGAAAATGCATCACGTTAAGGTAGAAAGCAGCAGCTGTGAAGAGGACAAAATACAGAGAGGTGGGACGTCACCGGGCCGGGGTGAAGGACGGGGACGACGAGACGCGAGGTGGGGGATAACAACCAGAGGACGGGGGTATGTGAATGCAGGGTGGGGTAGATGCAAGGTCGGCGAGAGATCATCAGGCCGGCATGCATGAATACACAGACCAGTCGGCCAGAGGTCCGCCAATCACAGGCCAGATTTTTTGAATCACTCCCCTGCGACGCGGTGAAGCTGAACTGGTCAGAGCCATGCGACGACGGAGAGCGTTAACTAAAAACATTTAATGCGACGTAACCTTCTACTGCCCGGTCGTATGACGCCGAGAATGCAGGATTGTGACGTTAAGGTCTTTAAGAAGGACCCCCCCCCGGTGCCAGGCACGTGACGAGCCGCGGCACACAATGAAAACCCTCATCCAAACGTACAAACACACCCGCGGACACTCGGCCACGTGCGATCGTAATGGAAAACCGTGTGTGACGAACTACTGGTCGCCGCCATGGAAGTATCCACAAGGCCACGGGATGAAGCTGAACCAACGAGTCCTCCAACATCGACCAAACTCTGCTGAAAACACATTGAAAATGTCTCCTCCTGTTGTCATGTGGTTTCATGCAGTATTGAAAGGATTATTGAGGGTAAAGCAAACACCCGAGTACTGTGCTGCCACTTTGAAGGAATGAACTGGTTATAGTGTTTCTACGCACAGATTATATCTATGGAATTGTGGAGTTGGTTTTAAAGCAGCATTTGGATCGGGGGGGCTGAATCTGTATAAACTGACCCAAATCTTTCTTTGTTTTCTTTGTTTTTTCCAATCCATCAGTATTAGGACTCCTAAACCATCACGGACACTTCACTTCATGTGAGATACCAGCAGCTCTGGTTTCCGCCTCTCGAGACGTTTGTCACCCACCGCGCATCTTGGACGGCAGCCCTCACAATCCGTACCACCACCGCCACAACGTGCCCGACGCCGAAGCCACCGAGCCCCCCCCCCCTCCATCGTCGAAAACCTTCGTCCGGATAAACGGGCCCCCGGTCCGCCGCCACCGCAGCACGTGTCCAGCGGGGTTCAGCCAGAGGTTAACCCCGTCTTAAAAGGAACGCTGGTAGATACGGCTGCCTAATCCTCCTTAACGCGAAACTACTCTGGGCCGTTATCAGGCCCACCTCTCCGCTCCTACCCCTCCGGTTCACCTCCGCCCGAGTGATCCTGCTCGTGTTGTTGAAGATGTGCTGTACGCACAGAAGGAGTCTGTGGGGGGTGTGAATATGGTTCATGACTTTCCTTAGATGTCACACCGCAGGCACACAAATCACATTTGACAAGAATAAAAGCCAAAAGAAAAAAACGCCGCCTCCGTGTCCTTTTAGGAATCAGATCGGATTTAGTCCCAGCTGGCAAAAGCGCAACACACGGGTTTTTAAAATCAAGGACGGTTTTGCCATTCTGCTCCCTTTTTTTTAAAAACGTGCCACTCTTTTATTTCCGTTTGTGTTTCACAACGACTGCTCTGAAAGCGGGATCCCCACTGCGGCGATTCTTGGTTTTCTGATGTTCTCTATTATCCCTATTAATGTTTTTTTGGGGGCGAGTTTTTCCCTCCTACTGGAGGTTCAGTGTGAAGCCGGCTAGTCCCCATGGAGATAAAACACATACATATTCATACTTCAATTTGATTCTATTGTTTCCACGTTTTGATTAATTAAGGGGGCGCAAATCAAATTATCTGATAATTGTGTCAAGTCACACATTCCTAGTCGGCACCTGCTTAATAAGACACTTGCCCTTGGTAGCTGTGGATGGAGAATCTTCAATTAAGCTTCGCTTCACCTCAGGGTGAGTTATCAAGACACGTAAACAATAATCGCCTTGCACTGGATTATTGTCAGTAAAAGGCAATTAACCGGGGTATTGAGAGCCAGTGGATTACATTGTGGGCAATGTGCTGACTGAGAGGATGCTGCTGGCTTTGTAGTCGGGGGACTGGAAGGTCGAGCGATACCGGGGTGGATGCATGAAACGGTGCCTCGCAAGCTGGTCATCAACAGGCCGCTAAATGTGTAATCTGTGCATTTTGGCAGTCGGGCAAAGTAAGTATTTGTTTTTCTTCTTCTCCGGTACAGAATGTATCTGATAGTTATGCCAAACTAGTCATTGCCACACACACACACACACACACACACACATTACGGTGCCAGAAGCTGATGCAACAAGTCAATTGAGACGGAGAGAGTGATTAAGGACAAAGAGCAAATACGAGTTAATTGCTAATATGTCCTGCTGATTATCTAATCAACTGATTAGATAATCAGCAGGTTTTCTTCCTGACCATCGGCGGATTGGAAGAAAAGTTCCCCGCCTGAGGGTTCTGCTCTCGCCCCGGGTCACTGCGCAGGAAAGACGAAAGGGTTTGTTTCTCTGCACAACCAAACATCTCAACTGAAAGCACAACGCAGCAAGTGTCTGTCTGTGTGTGTGTGTGTGTGTGTGTCCCTTCCTATCTCTTTCTCCAGCCCGAGTGTCCGGACAATCCTCGCACTGTGCTCCATCTGCACAGCTACACGTCTGTGGTCGGGGCCTCTGCGCTGCAGACGAGTGGCCAGACGCGCTCTGTCTGGGCCGTCACACAACGGAGACATTCAGTGCACGGCGGACACGCAAACACACATTTCCTGCAATACGTGGTACCAAACGGAGTCTTTTTTTTCCTCTATTTCAATTTTTAAAGACCAGAGTCTACACCCGTGTGCATTTGCCACGACGATAATCCTTAATTCAAACGATGCTTCCAGATTAAATCAAACCAGTTGGACCATGCGGCCTTATGGGGATTTCCACACTGCAGTAGTACATTTTTTTTCTTCCTACGTCTGACCTCCCCCCTCTGTTATAGAAAACCACGAGATTAAACATAAAATACATGACAGCTACAAGGGGGTATCCTTTAAAAGTTGTCCCAGCCGGCAGAGTGCTGCGGAGAGAGAGGACTGTGACGCTGATCTCAGACGAGCTGAACACCTGTTGCACGAGCACACCGACTAAAAATGGGTTTTCAGCAGCTAAATAAGCGGAGGCCTCTGCCCAAGTGGCCAATTGTGGTGTTGCGTGTTTCCTTTGAACAACGTCACCAGTTGTCCTGCATCGATTCAATTGTAATGCAGATTTTCTTTTTAACTTGGCGAAAGCTAAATAATAAAGGCAGATAATTTGTGACACTTTCGAACACAGATTCACGGTTCCTTTCCAGCCTAAAGCCCGGCCACTTTAAAGCAGAACTACTTCCAATCAATGCCCCCCCCCCAACAAATGTGACAAATAAAGGACAAAACAGTGCAAACATTTGCTCACATCTCTGCATTGTTCACCGAGCTTTACGTTAGAGATTAACCAAGATCCCACCGCTGCGCTCTCTCTCCCATTTGCTGCAGGATAAAAATCTGTGTTAACAAAGCCGGGAGACCATTAAACCCATAGCTTCTCCATGGAAGGGCCGCGTACAACAATGGACGGATACAAAGGCAGTGTGTACGTCAACTCACGAGGACCGAGGAAGAGCTTAAAGTGGCCACACAGCAACCTCCTGAAGTCACGCTGTCAAACCTGTCGGAGCAGGCAGGACAAGCCCGTGAATGTGGGAAACCTTTTGTCTTTTCTGTGGGAAAAAAATGAAGCGCTTTTACACTTTTTTTGATGGTGGATTTTTCACTAAATGTAAGCAAGACAGGAGAAAGTTCCTGGAAAATGTTCACTCAGAGAGAGACGTCCTTAGAGCCTGATAGGAAATATAAGATGTAAAGGTTACATAGATGTTGTCCAGATGTTATGTACTTAGTCTGCAGCATAATTTGCCCAGTGGCATTAATGCACCTTTTCCACATGCAGGAAACATAACTTCACCATAGCTTTTTTTTGAAGGTGACCATCAATGAGCAAACAGGTCGCCCAAGTGAGGGCTGTTCTGCTGCCCCCCTGCTGGGTTTCCCTGTAGCGGGGAGCCACCTGCCGGGATGAAGGGAGAGCTCCGAGCTGTGACGCGTTAGCGAGGTACGACTGCTTTTATTGAGGTGTGTGTTTCCTCCAACACGCAGGAGGAGAGCGTCTGTTTTCCTCTTCTGCAGGTGGCGCTTTTTTTTAATTTAACAATAAAAAGAAATACTCGGTTTCTGTTCTCTTTTTTTTTTTACCAGACCTGCAATGTTTCCGATATTTTTTAAATGATTAAATTCGCTCTCATTTGACCGTTTAATTGAACGCTTGGTCACGAGAAAAAATGGTTTGGAGAAGAAAAAGTGCGCAAATGGTCCGTGTGTCAGAACACGCACATTCGCTCCAAGACATAAAAACCATTAAAGTTTCACCACAGTTAACGGAAAAAAGATCATCGGTTGAGATGATCGCTTCTTGTTGAGGTAGTTTAGAAATACACCTAATTGTTTCCAATAATAATCTTACTTTTTTTTTTTTAAATAATCCATTTTTCCTTCTGAAATGCTGTTAAAGTCTAGATGGGGATTTGGCTCCCTTCAGTATTTAGCGTGTGAAACGTTTCCAATGTGTGCTGCATCTTTGCGTGAGCAGTTAGAAGGAACTTTTAACGCGATCCAATCTTGTACCTGTAATCAGTGTCTGTGTTTCAGGCCGGTCGCGTTCAAAACGAAGTTGATAAAAAAAAAGGGGTCCGATTAAGTCATAATGTTTTGAGTGCAAATGTTTATAAAACCAAATCACAGTCAACTCGTTTGATTGGAAATGAAAACTAGAAAGAAATGTTTATGTTCAGAGTTTTGGGGGGATAAAATCTTCCATCCCATTCTATGATGGATAAAAGAGTTGTGCATGTTTGGCACAAATTTGAAGAATATTATTGTTATTATTTGAAGTTTATTTGGTGAATGCAATTTTTTTTACAACGTTAATAATCACGCGCCAGCATGCGTTCATGTTTCGATTGAAAATGAAAGCTATTCCTCAATATAATGGGAATAAAAGAGATGCAACTTCTGTAGCTTTGTATCTAACTCATCTAATGTTGCCATAAAATAAACGGCTTTTCAGGTTTCAAAGGAACCCGTTCTTCTTTAAAGACAACTCCAATGGAAATATTTTCAGGAATGTTATTAAAATACAAGGCTTTGAAACCCCTAATGTTTTAATGGAGGCTACAGCGTATAGACAAGGGGGGGGGGGCACTTTCATAGAAGCTTTAATGGTCTGTAAATCAAATTAATTCATGTCAAACCCGTGAAAACCTTGAATTTCCAACAAAAAAGCACAAACAAACGCTGTAAGAAATCTGAAAACAACTCACTTTAAAAGGGACCCATTTGACTTTGAGAGCTCAATCGTTCCTTCAGGGATTTTTGCATGATTAGCCTTGAATGCTGCATTTGCCTAAAAATATGCAAACCCTACAAACAGGAAGCAGATAATAGGAATAAATAGGACACTGACGCCAAAATAAAAGCATTTCAATCACGCGTAAAAGCCGCTTCAACAGCACATAGCATTAGGACTTAATAAAATGCTTGGCGGTGGACGCCATTATGCTGTGGACACTTTTACTATTTACATTTTGTTCTCACTTGAAGGTCAGGCCGTTTCCTCTCAGCCAATCCGCTGCGGCCCCGCGTCTCCTCGGCAGCAGCAGGAAGCGGAGGCCCTCCCATTGACACCCCGAGTGTCAGCACTAATGAGGGACACAGTGGCTGCTCTGTGCTCCCCAAAAAACACACGCACTCACTCACGCGTGTGTGTGCGTGTGTGTGTGTGTGTGTGTGTGTGTGTGCGAGCGCATGCACGCACAACTATATGTTGGAGTTGGTGTGAATGTTGGTGCACTTCATGCCTCAAGCTGCCGAAACAGGTGTTTTCTTTCTGATTTAAGCCTGCAGAGCACGGGCGGCCTCCGAGCCTCACACACACGTTTTCTCCCAGAGTAATCACAGCGCGTTGACAAAGAGCCATCTCTATTGGTTACATGTGTTGTTACAACGTTATAAACCCGTCGTTTAATACAAAAGAATGCCTCTGTTCCATGTTGTACCACGCGCTTTAATTTGTAGATGGTCCTTTCATGCTCACGTATGCTCCTTCTGTAAAGAAAATCCTCCAGAAAGGGCAGAAGAGCTTTCATTCATTTCAAAACATTTCCCCCCCCCTGCCTGCGGCCCCGGATGTGCTCATTTCACGAGTCAGCTGAGCCGCGCTGTGGGCGGGGCAGCGCTCCCACTCCTCCGCTCCGATTGGCCGAGGGGCCAGCGGAAGGCCCCCAAAACACACCTGTCACCAAATCGCGATTACTGAACCAACTTTTTGGTGCGTTGCCGTGTCTTTCTCTCGCGACGTTGTTCCGCTCCACTCCGAGAACTCACCTGTGTCTCGGAGAGATTCAGCTGCCTCGCGAGCTCGGTGCGCTCGCGGCCCACCACGTACTGGCACCGCTGGAACTCGAGCTCGAGGCGGTACAGCTGCTCGGCGGTGAAGGAGGTGCGCGTGCGCTTGGGCCGGTCCAGGTCGAGGCCCTTCGGCAACACGATCTCCCGGATGGTGCCTTTGGCGTCTGTTTTGGAATCAAACGGAAACAAAGTCATTGGGCGACATCAACAAGTGTGTGTGTGTGTGTGTGTGTGTGTGTGTGTGTGTGTGTGTGTGTGTGTGTGTGTGTGTGTGTGTGTGTGTGTGTGTGTGTGTGTGTGTGTGTGTGTGTGTGTGTGTGTGTGTGTGTGTGTGTGTGTGTGTGTGTGTGCTGCTGACACATTTGGGCCCTGTGTTCACAGACCCTTTAGTCATAATGTAGCACACGTTCACACATGTGGTGAAAATAAATAATAGAATGTATATAATATAAACCGTGTATATAATGCAAACTGTATATTCCACATTAGGTAAATGTTATGGAATATTTGGGAAAAGTCTGCTGTTGAGATTTCACCCTGAATCAAACCCGCACTGCCTGCGTAAATTCCACACTCGCAATGCTGGTCTGCGCGTGAGCGTAAATGCAGGCTGCGTCATTTATTGCGCACTCAAGCGTGAACATATCTTGTGTTTTCATTGGGCATTACTGGACAGCCATTGAAACAGCGCAGTTGCATCCAGAGGGCTTAATTCATACATTAGGTATAGACATTTTAAGAAAACAATGCAAGGAGATGAAAATCAAACAAGGAGGAGGCTTCTTGATTTTGCCCAATTTCTCTACTTTCGGAGTGACTATGGCACTGAATATGTGTCCGGGGCCGTACGTGTTTTCCAATGAGTGCTGCTGCACAAAGGGTGGCGTGGATTTACTTCCTTGCTGGACAAATAATTTAGAGCCAATCAAAAGCTTCACTCTCAGCTGTTCCCAAAGTTTTAGGCCCGTGCGTCAGTAAAACCACAACAACCCGGTGTTTGTTGCACTGAAAAAAGCGTAACAAAGCTGTTGTTCATTTAATGTGTTTTTTTTCATTCCAATGAATAAAAAAAATTACTTTGCTCTATTAAACTAAACTTTTTTATTTATGGGTTAGGGTTTAATTGAATATTTTACTTTACTACAATGTAAACTGATAGCAAGGCACCAAACTGATTTTTTTTATTTTAATCAAAGTATTTTTATTAGATTGAGTGATTCGCGCATGCGCATTTTTTAAAAAGTTCTGGCGGAAACTTATTTCCACCTCAATCTTCCATTGCAGAGGACGTTGTGAAAAATATCAGACCCCACGGCATTTTGGTAACGTTAAGGTAAGTCATTACGATTTTTAAAGATGACTGGGCGAAAATGTTAGCCCGCAGACAAAGTGTCTGTCTTAAGTGCCTTAAGTGTTTGCTTTTGTGGGCAATTAATCGTGCGGCTAGGGTTGGCGCTGGGGGGAGGGGGTTCGCCGTTCGGGAGGGAGGCGAGTGAAGGTGGAGCAGATGTCGGCAGCTAAGCAGTGTTCCAGTCGACGTTACCATTCTGAAAAGCGTATATACGGCGTTAGCGCGTAGCTAACTACCTAGCTAAAACTATATACGGCGTTAGCACGTGGCTAACTAGCTAGCTAACACTATACACGGCGTTAGCATCGTAGCTAACTATCTAGCTAACACTATACGTGGCGTTAGCACGTGGCTAACTAGCTAGCTAACACTATACACGGCGTTAGCACGTGTTATTGCCTTACTGTGCTGTATTTTCTCGTTTTGGTAAAGGCTAAAACTGACCTGTGTAACTAATGAAGCAACTTAAATAATGTCTTTTCAGGTATTTTATTTCATAGGCATAGTAAATCCGATTTAAAAAGAACAGAAGGCATAATAATGTTTTGTCATTTTTAAACTGTATTAAGATGTAGTTCATGTAACATTGAGAATATCCATCATTAAAACGTTTTTTTCTCTTAATTTAAGGAGAGCTGCCACAAGATCCACTGTGTTCCTGCTGTGCAACCACCAGTTTGGAAGTCCCTCATCTTATTGTAGTAAGTTCTGAGTACAATATCATGAGTGTATTTGTGATAATTAGATCACTCTCCTAAAACCGTCCTTTCCTCTGCCTTTTTATTTTTCCTCAGTTATCCATGTATGTGGAAATGTAAACTACAGAAAAACAACAACCGTCAAACAATAAAATAAAAGATGGCAAAGACGTTTGGATACCGTAGACAAGAAATAGTGCATAAGCAGCCGAGCATTGAAGACATGTTGACAAGATGGCCAGCACTTTTTCAGATGGAGGAGGTATGTTTTCAGATGCAAGGCACTGTAAGCCTATTTTTGAGAGGAGAGGGACTTAATATATTTGTTAATACCAATGGTGTTCATGAGCATTCATGAAAGATGATTTTTTTAACCTTAAAAACTTTGGTCTTTTCAGAGGAGAATTTATTTAATACACTTTTTAAAAGTTCTTTCTGCGTGCTCTGTTATTGTTTCTCCAGATTAATGCTGAGTTCATGCGGGTGACAACAGTACCCTTGGAGACAAAGTTCTTAGCGCAGTTGGACAAGCACACGTCAAAACTGCTGGAGGTCATCAGGAGCAAGGGAGGGCGTGTGAAAGAGCTGACCAAGGCAACTTTGCAGGTTTTAGATGAGGTATCTATTTATGAATTGGTTCTTAATGCGATCCATAGTTGAATAGTTGGTGTGTATGTGCTTTTATTAATACCTATATTTCCTCAGACCGTGGACATCACAATTAGAAGAGAGTGCATCTTAAAATCTTTGATCTACCTGGGTGAACCTGTTCATCACCTCATTAAAGACTGCCAGGTAAGGGCATCTCCCTCACTAACACAAACAATATCTATATACCAACTTTGCTTCAACAATGATGTTCAGCATTGACATGCATTGTCTTCAGGAAATGTTCTTTCCAATTGTCCTCATTTCTTGTTTTTTTGTGTGTGCAGGAAAATGAAGCAGCCATGGTAATCGTCAGTGGAAACGAGGACATTAAAATCGTCATTGACAGAACAGAGGTCCTCAGAGAGGTGCCCACAATAGCAACGGCTGTTGCTATGTTCTTCGGGCTCACCTATGTTCTCAACATGAAATATCCCAAAAATATGCACTATACCCTTGAGTTTGTGCAAAAGGTCCTGATGAAGCTTGGTGAAAAAAATTCATAGGCTGAGTACCCAGCTTGGCAGCCAAGAGTAGGCACAGTAGAGTTCCACTGTTAGGCCTAATTTAATGGCATTTCTACAACCAAGACTTTGTACCGTTTTATCTGGGGTTGGTGTTTGAAACACTTGCACAACTACATTTCTGCTACAGTATGGACAAAAGAATCTGCCTATGGTTTCACAGGCACAAGTGGGTATTGTGCTGGAGAGCACTGATTTGTTTATTGCAGCATTTTCTGACCAAGAGGATCAGGAGCTACCTCACTCGTTTGCAAGTTATGGAACTGATGACGTTCACACACATCACTTTTGATTTTAAGGAATAATTCCTCTCTGACTGTATTACATTGCATTTTCAAATGGTCACTGTTCAGTGAGAAAAATGTTCCCAAATGCTGTTGGTTTACTTGAAAATGCATGTCTTCATTACTGTTTGTGTTTGAGATGTGATGGTTGAGAAGCACTGGTTTATGTTAATACAATGAGATGTTGCTGTTGTATTTGAGGGGAAACGACATCATTGAGAAGGACTGTTTTTAAGGTGGGACTATGTTGAAAAAAATGTTCATTCAACAATAAATGTGTTGAAAAGGAATGGCTTCTGAGCTTAAATCAAAATGTATTAAAATATCTTTTTTTAATTCAGGTCTATAAATATTAAAGTATTACTTTAAATTTTTATTTGAGACAACTTAAAAAAATAGTTTTCTCCGATATTCAAAAGTTGTTTAAATGAATTTAAAATAATCAGGTTTAACAAAGTAGATTATTTACATTAAGCAATAAAACCAATGTATTTATTTTAATTTAGGAAAATCTGAAATAATTGCTTTGGTTCAACCTTCAGAAATGGGTTTACACGAAGTTAAATATTTCAGGTCAAATCAAATGAATTATTTATATTGTATAACACTAGAATATTAGTTGTGATCGATTACCTCAATTTTTCTAATTTGAGCCAATGTTAGATTTTTTTCAGTGTGGTTTTGGAGACAATCATTAATCAGGGTACTTTATCTAATAGGCTTGTCCGGCTTATTTTGTGTGTGTTTTTTTATTCGTATTTTATTTTTGTTTGTTGGCTATAAACTATTCTTTTTAAAATTATTTTCTTCTTTGTTCTAATTCAATATTTATTTCCAACGGTAATGTGTAATTTCAGAATATATCAAGAAGAAGAAGAAGAAAAAAAAGATTACAAAAACAACTAATATTTACACGGGTTTAGGTCAATTAAACTATTATTATTATTACCCTGGCTAGTTTAGGGTCATTACACCCCACCCTGGATACTAAAGTCCTCAGGTTATTGTCTACTGTAAATAAAGAAAGAGTCACTTTAAATTTGCCGGAATGAAACAAATTCTGGAGTATTAAATAAGTAATTTGAATTGTTTTTGGTATTTTTTGGGAATACTATAGCCGGGAATATTTGTCCTTATTTATCACATTGAATGGACAACAAGGCGTTCTCTTTGTCCAGGGTTTTGCGGTCATAAAATATGGAATTCAATAAAATATGAAGAGGCCTGAATTAAACATGAAACCAAACGGATTGAACCAAACAGCCATGGTTTCAATAGGAAGGCTACCGGCTACACAATAAAACTTACATTTTATATTTCAACATTATTTATTTTTTGCAATAAAAAGGGAACTTTGTCGTAATGTACAGGTAATATAGATGTAAAGAGGTGCAGTCAATTCAATCAGTCATTGAACCTTCATTTGAACTATTTTAAGGAAACGTGGGTGAAATGAAAACATGTTTTCCATCATGAGAATTAGCTGAGTTAATGAAACCTGTTCGAGCTCCCTGGTCTCTGTCGAGATTTCAATTTGAGTTACGGACGGTTGATCCCTCCGTGTTTAGTCTAAAGGCCTATAAGCTACATAACGGTGCTCATAAGAGGCCATCTTTACGCATAATGCCTTTGCGTAATATCCCACAAAAAGGGCCCAAAACCCCTCAAAATACTCAGAAATACATTTTCAGATCGTCCTCACGAGCTCCGTAGCAGAAAAGCCAGACCGCGAATGAACGGATTTGCAAGCAGAGGAGGGAACTAGCGTCGTACAGACACACTGACCTCTCGGTGACCCCGGCCACGCTGCGGAAAAAACATCCAGGCTCGGATTCAAAAAAACAAATCCTGACCACTGCAGGCGTTGTTCGCTACAGGAACAACATGTATCTCCAGCCAAAACCAACGCACACCCCTCAATCCTTCCACGGGCCCAGACCCCCTCTGATGGGACACCATGAACCAGGCAACACCCGCCTGACAGACACGAAGGGGATCATGTGATCAGCGGCGGGGGTTTCATACAAAGCCGCCTCGCAGGTGACAGCAGCTCCATAACCGCGATATCTTTAAATACAAGTAAGAAAGCACGTACAAAAACTAGAGATTGTTGAGACTATTCCTGGAGCTGTAAACGTGCCGCAGGACACCGCGCGGCTAAACGTTAAATAGCAAATAAAACCAGGCCATAATTATTATGTCGTCAGCAAACAGTTAGACAACGCTGTAAATGTAGGAAAACGATTGGATAAAATGACCATCATTTTTTTTTATTCTTACTTGACGGTATTCGGAGTGGGAAGAAGCAAATCATAATATGAAAAAAACGGATACTTCATGTGAACTTCAGTGATTCAAAATATTTCTCTCATAATAATATATTTTGAATTCTGTCAAGGTCTAGTCAGATTTATATGTTTTCCCTATGCATTGGGCACTTTAAGCTTTCCTGTAAACGTGTGACACATATTCATCGTGCAATTGGGATTAATTCAACATGCAAGCCAATGTTCGAGGCTATTTAGACTTAAAAATATAATTCCAACATTCACTATAATTATATAGTTTTTCTTAAAAGATAAATAAATGGTAAAAAAAAGTCCTACTCCATTTAAAAGGTGTATTGTGACTGCTGTAATTCTAATTCATTTTAGAATTGGAAAGAAAAATGTAATTTAGAGGCTACAGTCCTCCCGCAGGAGGGCGTTGACACATATTTAATTAAATATTATTATGATGGTCATTAACGTAACGTTGGCACACAAAGGCAATCAGCTACTTACAAGTAACCTCACACACACACACACACACACACACACACACACACACACACACACACACACACACACACACACACACACACACACACCTTTTTAGCGGTTATCGACGAAAAGCTTAATGATGTTTCTTTCTTTCCAACTCTTTTGTTGATTAAACAAAGATCAGCCTATATAACTAAATGTCTCCTGATTATCCTCAACCTGTTTTCCTTTTTTAGTTTTCTGCTTCGAGATCTTGTTTAATATAATCAACCACTATATATATATATAATTCTGTAACTATAATTCAGTATTTTACCAGTTAATCTGTCAATCGATTTTTTTTTCACAGCTGATACAAAACACAACAAACATTTTCTCTGAATGCCTTAATTCCATGTTTAGAATACGATCAATTCTAAATGAATACACGGGTGTGGCGTTACAATCACTCGTGCATCACGGAAGTGCGAGCAGCCTATTGTTACCGCAGCCACGAGCTGTTTGCGTGTGGATGCTGCGCATAGTTCACCCCGCACCCGACGTGTTCTGTTGTACAGCGTCATTTAAGCGTCCAACACCTCCACGCTCAATGCGCTAACATCACCTTCCCCTAGTCCAGGACATACTAAAGCGCCATAACACACATTTAAATTGGAGCAGCACCAAACAAATCCCCACTCAAGGGCCGCACGTTATGTCGCGGTAATTACAGCGTCCGGGGCACCTTTGGTTTTGGACAGAATAACAGGGAAGCTCCCAATGAATGGACTCGTGTTTTGCTTTACTCACCCCTTACTAGTATCCTCCGGCAGTAGTCCGGGTCCACTCCCAAAAGTTTGTCGTGTCCGTCTTCGCTGGACGACGTCGGGGTGGACGCCGATGTCCCCGGGGTGTCCGTGGTGCTCTGAGCAGGGGACCGGCTCCCCATCTCGGCGCGGCACTTTGTCTCCATCCGCTCGGGACACAGCGGGTTGGGTCCACAGCGGTGGTTCCCATCGCCCATAGTCGTGGCCTGGTCGAACATCTACAAGTAGCCGAAGTTGCACTCTTCAAGACGATCCCTCCCCACTCCTCCTTCCCTTCCTTCCTCCCTTCTGTCGCTGCTGCTCACCTTCGCCTTTTCTCCGCTCGTCTCCTCTTTGCAAGTGTTCTCCTGAGACGTGGAAAGCAGGAACTTCTCGCCCTCCAGAACAAAAAAAACGAAAGTAGATCCAGTTACAAAGGAACCCTGCGGTCCTGCAACGGAACCGAGGTGCGCTTCAGGTGTCGCGGCATGACGCGCGGCGCGCAGTCCAAACTGAGTTATGGAGGGTTGGTGGTGTTGGTGGGGAGTGTGTTGGTGTACTCCGATGGGGAAGGAGGAAGAACCTCGGGGCCCAGCTCTAACTATACTGGCGAGGAGGCGCGGGGTCAATGCATGGTGCAGCTTGTAAGGTACGAAGGGGGAGGGGGGGGGGAGACCAGATCTGTGGAGGGGCGGGGAGGTGCCACAGATGCACGCGCGGAATACAAGTGAGAGGTACGTGGCGCGCAATGAGGAGAGGTAGAACAATTAAAAATAAACAAGACGCAAACAGCAGCGGTCACAGTTCAGCGGGCACAAGAAAAGTTTCTCCCGGTGTGTCCGCAGCGGCAGCCTGTTACTTCACCCCCCCCCACCCCCCCTGCCCTCCCCGGTCTCATCGCCTGCATCTGCGGATCCGTGATTGCATGTTGTCGGCGGTGAGGTGGTAAAAAAAAGGGGGCTCGGGTGGTCGTCTGCTTTCGGAGAGCCCGCAAGACAAGATGTCTGTGTTGAAACCCCTGCAGGAGGTCGACTGTCGGGGGAAAATGGGAAACGGTCACGTTTGATTGGAAAAAAATAAATTAAAAAAAAAGTAAAGGTCTGGCAGCGCTGCGCGTGAGCTTTTGTGATATTTTGTTGTGGTTGTGGTTGATAAAACTGGCTGGAAAGCTGACCCATTCCCGCCTCTTAAGCCGACCACGACCGAAGCGAAGGCGACGTTGTAAGGGAAATATTTGGTGGTGACACGGTACACTTGACGAGGGCGAAACCCTTCTCGGTCACTTCCCGCCCACGCAGGTCCCCCGCTATTTGTCCCCCCCGCGGTGCACTTTTTCGCCGGGGGGGGGGGGCGAGCGAGCGAGCGAGCGGCACCGCAGACCGGGCGACCGGGGGCGCGCAGACATGAGACGATGGCTGCGAGCGGCGCTATTTTCAGTCCCGCAAACGAGATTAACGGCGCGCTGCGAGAGTGAGTCCAACTGTTGACCCGTCCTCCGCTCCTCGTAACTCAAAACCCGCAGATAGTTCCCCCCCCCCCCCCGACCCGGTGAGGAACGCCTCCATTTACATGCAAACATGCACCGCAGTCATTGCCTTTTAGATTGCTCCCACTCATTGGGGCTTAAATTCCCAATATGAAAATAAATATGACCTAAAGAACAGAAGTTCAAGCAATAAATACGTAATCCACGTCAGCGCGTGTTTACGGGTCAATTATACATCCAGGCCGTGTTGTTTTTTAACAGATAAGGGATGACATGTGTGATATGATGTAGGTTTTTGTAAACAGAGCCTGCAGCTACATTTGAAGCTCGTTTGAGTCTCTTTCATAGTCACGTTTCCCAAACGCATGAAACCACTGAGTTATTAGTTACTTATTGGACATTATACCGACATTTCTGGGGTTGCATGTCTATTCTTTTTATGGCTCTTTCAAAAGACGATTCTGTAGAAAATGTTCAAATTCAACATCTGCAATACCGGCACGAAATATTCCCAAATCTTTCCCCTAAAGATGTGGGCCCTGATCAAGTGATGTTGGTCATTCCCTGTTATGTATTTGGTGGGATGGACGCAATGGAAGCAACACATTCGTATCTGGTTCAATGCAAAAACATCACAAACTAAAGCCTGAGAACCGCCACGTTCTGAACAAGAGTTAAACATTCAACAGGTGTCTCTGTTATTTTGTCCATCCCCTCACCACTCTCGACGGCCTCAAAGTCTATGAAATGTGGACAGCACACAATATATTCGAAGCACCAGTTGATGAATTACAAAAAAAGGAAAAGAGCAGAGGGAGGTTTCTATTTGTTTTTCGTCGCATATTGAAAAAAGCTCTCATTCACAATCATTTACTGAAATTTACTGTAAACATGTGGAAACACTGGCACTTTTTCGGGTGTCGAATGGTGCAGCCTGTTGTGTTTGAGAGGATGTTTTCAAAAAAATAAATAAAGAGTTCCAGAAATGGCTGAAAACGGGCTGGAATTTCCTCTTTAAAGATAAAACATCTCGCTGCGGAGAAGTTTGAATGGGATTATATAATTATAGTTTTGCCGTGTGTGTTTTTTCCTTATTTTTCTCATCCAAGGCCGTAATTACTGCACACAGCTATGGGTCGTTACTCCTTTCAGCTGGCCTAATCTCACAGGGGATGAATAGAAACTGTCAATCAGACGCTGCACTCAGCAGCGAGACAAGAGGGGACTGATTGCTGCTGCGCTGCGACACACACACACACACACACACACACACACACACACGGACACACACACGCACACACACACACACACACACACACGGACACGTCACTACACGCGCGCACGTTTTCCTCCGTCTTCTCCACCAGCTATGCCTTCACTGATGCACAACTAACACCCTCCAAAAAGCTTCTTCTTTTTTTTTTTACCACGTTTAACTTTCTTAAAATATTTTGGCTTCAGTCCTAAAATAAATTAGGCAACTTTATTTGTGTGTTTCTGTGATTATTGAATTTAAGGAATTACATATGCTTTTGTTGCAAAATATGCCAGGACGTATGCAGCACATATCAAGTTTAAAACAGGAAGTTAGATGTTTGAACGAATAGGTTTACAACCGATATTCTGCATCTTTTGCTTGCAGAATGATCGATTACTCATCGATATGGGCTGATCAGTTAAAATAGTTTGTCATCAGATGCAACATTCAAAGGACATTTAGATGCGAATGCATCACCAGTCCTCCATGTGAGTGCTTCATACTTTATTTAGTTGAAAGCCAGCCTTTAATATCATTGTGTTACAGCCTGTGGAAGGAAACTGACTTTGGCTTCTTCTAACGTCTCTTTTAATTAATTTCCCATGTCAGAATTTTTAATTACTTCATCGGTAGAACTGATTAATAGCGAACCTTCCCTTCTGACATGTCATGGCCGATATCTCTACCTTAAGTATGTATTAATAATTAAATTAAGGTATTGTGTAGTACCAAGTAATGATGCAAATGCACTTTCATCTTGAAACTACAGCAATCAGGGGAATAAACTCGGCCCTTTGTATGTTTTTCTATTCATCAAATCAGAACTCATTACTTTAAAAGTCAACCGTATTTTTATCCTCATAATATTTCTTTTCCACTCAAAATCCCAATTACACGATGCATAATGCAGCGGATAATGGACAAAGTAAGAAAAAACCCGGATCTACTCTGCATGTATTTGCCTGCGGGATAAAAGGAAAGGAAAACAGCACCAACAGCCGCATGACCCCCTTCCCCGTGTGCGGCTGCATTGCGGCCTCGTGGAGACGAATCTGATCAATCAGATCAATCAACAGAGATTACTGTAATCCCAGGGGTCACCGGGAGGGCAGCGGGCCACTCGGAGTTCACACATCCCACACAAGCTCCAGACAAATCTGGGCAAGAATGGCAAACATTTGGTCCGCGGAAGTGTGAATTTGCTGGAAAGGTTAATTTCGGATGATTTGTGACGACCAGGTGCAGCGTTCAAGCAGATCCTTCTTTTTTGTTTTTAATATAAGAAAAGTCCTCTGACGTGCTGCTATAACCTGTGTGTACATTTCTGAGAGTGGAGCACATCGTCCTACACATGCAGTGTTATCATTGGAATACGTTGGTGGAAATACTTTGGATTCGATATAAAAGCTGTATAACGGCTGCTTAAAGTGGACGCAGACACACACAGTGCTTTTTTTTGCCGGTGGTGGAGGCCTGCAGAGGAAAAGAAGACAGGAAACGGGTGCATTTATAGAGCTTTGTTGAAATAAAACCTTTGAAAGAGGAGGGAATGAAACATATACGCATAATGGACACAGAGCTTTACGCACCATTACGCGGGATTCCACATTACAGACACCCGGAATCCTCTCCGAGTCAAGTAGAATCCGGCTCCTCTTCCTAAACATCTTGCACTTATGTTTGTTTCCCTCACAGAGGGTCATGCACTGCAGCGTTGGTTTTTCAAGATGTGTCCTGACGTGTTAACGTGTAGAACTGACATAACGTTGCACACAAGGCACAATTCTGTGCTTTATAAAGTACACAATAGAATATGAACAATACAAATATCGGTTTAACCGAATGGCTAAAAAAAAAAGAACCATTGGGCACAATTTATTTGAACGAAATCCCTGGCGTTTTATAAACATGTGAATTATTATTGGTAGGACAATAATTAAGTGCTACAAAATGCATCGAACATTTGAGTTTAATAAAAGGCATTTTAAGTCTATTAGTTTGAAGTTATTTTCCCCGACTGTCAAGTGAATTGTTGCGCATAAGAACCACGATGTCACGCAACAAAAAGCTGACAAAATGACTATATTTATATTCCTACATTAGAAAACAAATAAAGTAGCAGTAAGACATTTAACTGGGGCTCTATTATATCTTCTGACATACACGGCTATGCAACACAAAATATGTGGCTCATGCGTTGCGCCGAAACTGTAATTGATTATTGTAAACAAGGGGTTAAAAATGACATTTCTCTCCTTTAGACATCAGCCTTTATCAACATGTATGACCAACACGCAGCAGCACGTGAATTATTCAGACGCTGCAACGAGCTCACATACATGTTTACAGAAGAATACGAGACAACACCTGCACCACCAAACAGGTGTTTGTAGCCAAATGAATAAACTATAAACATATTGGATATCTCATTTTAATAATTAAATAATTCAAAGATTCTTAATAACAGTAAAACGATTATGTCATTAAATAAAATCACAAACAGTAAGAAGAAAATAATTTAGTAAAACTCTGCGTCCTGAATTAATTAACAAGTACACATCGATATATAAATAATAACTTTTGAAAACGGCGTTTCTGCTGCTGTGTGTGGAGATATTTAGGGGATCTGGCTCTGTTTCGTGCAGCAGCAGTGCTGTTTTTTGCTCAGAAGTCCAAGTGCACCATGTTACTTTCTCATAACTCAAACAACCTTTGATGCATTTCCATCATTGTCAAATATTAACGTTTTCAAAAGAGAAGTTTCGTGTTATTGATGAATTGAGTGGGTTAATTTGTGTGTTCAAAAGCAAAGGTTATTTGAGTTGATAGAAATGAGCCGTGCAGAGAGAAGTCCTCGCGGTATTATTCAGAGTAACAACGTCTTCAATTCAAGCTTTGAAGCAATTCTTAACGACAAACTCACTTTTCCCCAAAAATATTCATAATAATCTTAATAATGTGAACGCAAAAGGCAGCAGGTCATGAAGCAGCTAAAGTAAAATAAACTTCTTCCTTATCTATCTGCACAGGAAGGCTGATTATGTCCCGTGGTCTTATTCAACTGTTATCTTGTTTTATTATTTTATTTTATTGTATTGGTTATGAATTAAATCTTTTCTATAAAAAAAATCTGATATCTCACAGGTCTTACTGGTTAAAATAAGTTTTGTATCATCATGAAAACCTCGTGAATTCTAAAACGCATTTGGTAAGAATGCATGTGAAATTAGAATGCGATTATTAGTTCCTTTATTTCCAATCAATCCGTTATCCTTACAAATAAAATATTCAACTATGCGGATGATTGAATCACTAAGAAATTCACAAGTAAAAAAACAAAACTTTTCTACTCAAATCGGTCTCCAATACATAATCAACACCGAAGATAACTTAAAGCAATCTAGATGTTATAAGAAAACATTTAAACAGATACGGTATCAAATAAATGAGAGACTGAAATCTAACAGAACCATCTGAATTAGAAGGATTTCCAATTTTACTTTGAATAGAATTTCTAACTTATAGATATGAAAAGAGGACCACAAGCTAAAAGTAACATTTGGTACCTCACTCCATGACGGCAGTACAATGACAACTCCGTTTTTATAGAGTAAACAGCTGTGAGGCGGAGTTTGGGTCTCTTTTCAAAGTTTACGGTCACGCTGCGGCACAAAAGGTTTACAAAAAGCTAAAACGATGAGCTTTTGCTGTTTTCACGCTCTATTCCGCTAAAACGTAGACCATATAATCGTGAAACAAACCCCAAATGGAACGAGCCGTTGACATCAATATGGATTGTTGAGGTTTTATTGATATTTTAACCTGCAGGGAGGAACGTGAGGACGCGTTTCGTGGCTTCCCTGCAGCGGCGTTGACCGCCACCTAGTGGCCCCGCTATGCACCGACAGAAGACTCGAGAAGTGGCGAAACTCAAAGACGGTCACACGCACACTTTTATTCATTGTGGACGTTAAAAAAAACACACACACATCACAGACACAAACCGGAGACCTATATGAACAAACATCTACATCCTTTAGACCAACAACTAGTGAGCGTTTCCGTTTTGCACCAAGAAAAACAAACAAAGCACACTTTGTCCTTATTACCCCGCAAGCAAACATCAAATAAATCCATTTAATCTGCACTACGCCGAGAAATGACACGCGGAAATCCTTCCAGGCCGATTAACGAACAACACGAATCAGACGGTAAAACCACATCGAGCCTTTGAGTTCAATGACAAACAGGAGGGGGACATTTAAAAAAGGCACTTAAGTGTCGCGTGTTTCACAAGGCTTCATGAACTCGAACAAAAGAACTGATTATACCGAACCAGCTGTGCAGCTGGTTTTATTTATTTTTTAAAACTACTTGGATGCACAATTATATTTTTTTAATTGTCGATTAATCTTATGTTGGATCGATTAGTTGATTAGTAGTTTGGTTCGTCCAAGAGAGAATGCAGAAAGACGTTGAAGGAAATGTTAAAAGTCTCGTTTTGTCGGACTTGAAGTACAAAACACGTATCAAATTTGAATTCAGAACGTCTATCATGATTATCAGAAACGCAGCGGATTCGTTTATTTGTCGCCGATTTAGTTTATTTTCTTGATTTGTTGGATATCCCTAACTACGGCGTGTTTGGTTGTTTATTTCTTTAAATTCTACGAAAAGAGGCAAATCATAGCGACATGTCAAAAATATTTGCAACAGTTTGGGTGCAGAGATCTAAAACAAAGACACTAAACATCAGACTTTAGTGTCGGCTTCTCATAAGACAAAATGCTTCTACTATTTCACACAAATGTTTCACAATCATGCAGTAAAATCCATCACAGAAAGAAGAAGACCTCAAAAGATCAATGTCATACAGCTAGCACGCGGGTTTTAAAGCATTATTCCTCTGGTTGTTTTCACAGGAGAAAGCCTCACTTGACATTCCTCGCATACACCTTTTGAAATACGTTCACAACATGTTCATTGGGATTTCCTTGACAATGCAGAAAATTAAAAGCTTAAGTCGAAAGCCGTCGGGCAGAAGATATTTGAAAGTGTAAAATGCCCTTGTTGAATTTTTTTTTCCTCCCTTAAATGGAGGAAGGGCACAACACTGAGGTAGCCTCCAGATTGGAGTGTTTTTACACACAGTGGTCTGCAGTGCCCCCTGTAGGTGGACAGAGACATTACAGGCACAGCATTGCCATTCACTCCCACTCGGTTCCTTTTGAATATGCAGATTTAGACTCCTCCCTATAGATTAGTTTAAGCTACTTAATAAGCAATAGAGCACTTGTTTAGTCCCTCCCTTCAGGAAAAGGGTGAACTGGAGGTCGAGAGGCGGTGGAAAGGGATCCGAGGAGCGCTGCTGCCCTCTAGAGGTTCAGTAAGGACGGAGAGGACGATTACCGACGGGATTCATCACGGCGAGAGAAAAACAGGAGACCGGGAGGACATTGACAAACTGTTCAGATGCTGTCGATGACGGGATGCTGGACGTCTTTTGGTGCGTACATGTTCCCAGGAGACAAACAACCATTCCCTACATGTACATCAGGTGGCACTAAATCATTTGCGCGTGTGATCCCGCTCCTATTTGGTGTGTGTGTGTCTTAATTTGGCGTGTGCGATCTTCTCTGACGGCAGGTATGCGTTTGTGTATCCGAGGGCACCGAGCTGAAGCTTCAGTCGAATCCCTGCCAGTCGCTCTGTTCAGAGTCGTACTCCAACTCCACCCCGATGCAGCGGACGCCCTCCAGCAGCATGGGAGTACCCTGGTGACGATCTAGAGTGGTGGCGACAGAGAGAGAGGAGAATACATAATAATCCTTAGTGAGCAGCAACTTTGTGCAGTATTGTTTATTTCTATTAGATGGGACTACTTTTACAGTCAGGTGTTTCCAGAATCCGATACCACCGGCACACGTCACCATTATGTATTCGACGGGGAATGTGTTGTCACCTCCCATTTTCAGAGTAATTTGAATTCTTTGAACGGGGAACAAGCCGGATCATCGATCATGTTGTGCTCTAAACTTGCATCATCAGCAAGACAAACAAAGCGGTCAAAGGTCAAGATTCGTACCTCTTGGTGACGGTTATTGGACTATTTGTTGTCTAATGACAGACCCGCTTGTATGAGTACACACCTGCTTCCCGCCAGTGAAGTATTGCCCCTTATGTAAAATGTGAAACAGTCTGAATCTGGCTTACTTCCATTTGTCTTTTTACTCACTTTAATTGTCAGGCAAGAATCTGAGTGACTTGAGGGCATACAGGTGGAAGGAAAATAGAAGAGTTCCTGAAATTGAGCCTTGTGGGACACCAACAGAGCACTCAACTAAAAGTGAGAATTCATCCATCCGATTGAGTCACACAGATGAATTCAAATTGGACTGTTCTGAGAGGAGAACATTGTGAATGTGGTCTTTACACATCGATCACGTTAAAGGACAGTCGGGGAGACCAGGCGATGGTTTCGGCAATACATTCCATTTGAATTGATTCTGGTTGGATTGGTTAAACAGTCAAACACTGTAGGAATGTAATCAATGCAGTGTTTACACTGAATAACTGATTATTTCCCCCTCAACTCCCCTTTGAACTGGAAGTATCGGCCCTCAAAGCCGTTGTTTGTAAAAAGAAACAAACAAACAATTTCCTGACTTCTAATTTACCTCCATTACTAAAATCTTACATTGACTGAGCTGCTTTTCTAAACAGCAGCTTAATCCTTTGATCTGGTCACCATCCAGGGGTCAATTACAGAGACACACATCTGGACAGATGTTTTGGCCACGCTTTGTGAGTAAATATAGACACTCAGCACCAACAGAGCCACCATCCTCAAGCACACATCTGCATTCACACACACAACTATATTTCCTCACTAATGGAACCACACTTCTGGCCTCTTTACCTAATTCTCCATCTGCTGTCGGGTCTAATTCGGTCTCGCTGACACAGATTTAAGGGGAGAAAATACAAATTCCTTACCAGGTCTTTTCTGTCTTACAGGCTGTTGAGGGCGATGGCAGGATAATAACCAAAGAGCTTTGGTTGTTTTATTAAACACCCCAAAGATCATTTGCACAATTTGTGTTCTACAAATGTTTAAAAAAAAAGAAAAGAATAGATGTGTGTCCAATAACAAATGTAAAGGAAATGTAGCTTCCTTCTTTTAGACAAAGTGACAGTGACCAGCTACAGTGCAGAGTGGCCAGCAGGAGGCAGTAGCACACAAGTAAAAAGAAGTTAACGGTTAACTTTTTAATTTTTCTACTTCGATCACAGGAAGAGCGCTTTGATTGTCTGTCGATGGCTCTCGACGTGTCCGCTGCGACATTCACACATTTCTCCTCATCGTCGCTGCATATGTAATAGTTGTCTGCTGCTACATTTATGTACAACATGTTAAACAGGTTCTTTGACATATTCTCTGATGGTAGAAGTCAGGGAATCAAAATGCCGATTCAAAATAAAACCCAAATGTATTTGAAAAGGGAATTGATCGGAAAATATTTGGATGGACGATTTGATGTGAAGTTCAGGAAAGATTCATTTGTTCTTCATCAACTTTGGGATTTGGACAGTGTGAGAAATCGGGATTTTAACAGAGAGGAAACAAACTATAAAACTACTTTTTAAAATTGCTGGTGTTTACAGTTATGTGCAACTTGCAGATGTGCATAAAAAATACTATAAAGCTTATCTACAAGCCAAGGTGCATCGCCAAGTTGATCATCCCTGATAATAAAGTAACGCAGCCTCACCCATGACTCTGGCTTGGACCTTAACTTTCACACAGACGTCCTGGTTGGTCTCGCTCAGCAGCAGCGCCTCCTCACACAGGACGCCCTCCTGCTGCGCCATGTACTCGCATGTCACCTTCAGACCTCCTGGGAGAGAAGAAGAAGAGGGATTGGATGGATTTCATCACGTACTCTGTGCCTGTCTCTCTCTCTCTCTCTGCGTGAGGCCACGTCTTGAATATGCATCAGACTGAAAATCCTGTGGTCAAGGGAACAAAATGATGGAAAAATGAACACACACACAGAAGCTCATTCAACCAAGATGTGCACATTGCACACTTCCTCACCCGGTTTCTGTCGCTCACTCGCACGCACGCGCGCGCGCGTAAATGGGTGTGTTAAGAAGCTGAAAGTGAAAAGGTCAGCAACCTGCTTCAGTTAACAGGCATTTAATGGGCTCGACTCCCAGAAACATTAGAAGATCTTCCTTGATTCAAATTAGCAGGTTTGGTGGAGAAGGCGGTTAACAGACACACACGCTGGCTGTTTTATCGGCGTTAAGACGGTGACGGGAATTTGACAAATGCACAAAAAAAAGTTTGTTGAAACGGAGTTTTGTTTTTGGGATTCAGAGCGAACGCCGTCCGTTCCTGTGATCCTCGGCCATCTGGTCGTCCAGCCGGCCTGCAACAACGCCGCTGAGAGTGACTCCTATAGTACCTCACTTCAGGTCCACGAGCAACAGAAACAGACGCACGGCAAACCCGTCTTTGCTTGTTGTATCCTCCACTGTTAAACTGTTATTGTGAAAAGGCACAATGTTTAAAAAAAAAAAAAAAGTATTTAAAGGGGATTTAAGTAACAAATGACAGTAACATTCTCACATTAATCTGATGGCAAATTAGAATAAAGATCTGATTAGAAAAAATAAAATAAATCTACAGATAAAAATCCAACATCCGGGAATAATAACATTGCTAATATTGCATTTAAGTTTCGCATCGAGCGAACAGGGCCGGAAGAAGATAAGATACGATAGAAATGCATCAATCCCGAGGGAAATCATTGTGCAATGAAGAAATCTATATCACAAAGTAATCCTTAAGTATGGCCTCATATAGCGCGTGCAGATCATTATGCTAAAAGGTCAACGGTGGTTTCCAGGAGCTGAGTGCTGAGTGTTTACATAAACACACAACCAGTTCAACCCAGTCGGTTCACCTCAGTGCGGAAATCTTACGTGTTGCTCTTCATTTTCCAAGTCCGCGGCTGAGGTTCTTTCAAGCCGCGGCCTCTTATTTACGCGTACGTTCCTCGTAATGCTCCCTTGATCATCTCACCCTCGGGTGCCGGTGTGATGTTGGTGATGCGGAGGTGAGGACTGGGTACCGGCGCCGGACACGCGTCCTTCCTCAGGGCCGGGACGTCGGGCAAGGTGAAGACTATCTCGTACCGGTGCTGCGTCTTTAGGAAGCCGACCTGCGGGGAGGGAGAGACCTTTGTTCAAAGGGGAAGTTGTCCAGTTGAGGTTTAGCAATTAGGAGGCAAAACAACGGCCACCCTCTTCTCTGCCACACACGTCTGACTGATCCGTTTGTCACATTAGGGGGAGGGACTTATAGGGACCCCCCACAGGGCACAGGGTAAGGCTTCTATAGCTCAATAAATACAGGATTAGTATCTGAAACGTGGATAAGTAATTCTCAATAGCAATACGCTGGTGGACTGAGTTTTCCTTGAGGGAGTCCTCTAAATCATTAGCTATTGCGTTGGTGATCTTAACGAAAAAGTGATCAAAATTCCTAAAAAAGTAGTCCCAGCGCCGATACACGATCATCAGGAGTAGAAATAAAAGGAATCAAGATTCCAAATGATTATGCAACACCCTGTTGCAGCTGCATGGATAAAAGAATTCATATCATCCGTGTGCAACACATGCGACATTTAGAAAAGCAGGTTAGAAGCGAGAGAGAGAGAGAGACGTGATTCTGAGGTTGCTGCCTGACATTCTGCAAAAGGAGAAATCCATGAGGGGGATCTTGACAGAGAGGAGCGAAGAAAGCCGCCCGGAGGAGTCAGGATAATAAAATAAAGAAGAGAAACAGCGAGCGAGAGAAGCGCAGACAAGTGCATGCAAGGGCAGATAAGCCTAATGCTCCCCCGGCTCGAGCAGCAAACTCCAACTTAAGCCCCGCAGGGCCTCCGGGTTAAAGCAGCAGAGGGAGGGAACTCGGACTGCCGAGAGAAACAGCAATCATTCTGTGAGCGAGAGCCCACGCATGTCCAGACACCGCCATCCGTCTGCGCATAATTAAACAGGAATTTCATGCACATTTTTTTCTTTATAGCGGCTTTAATGATGTTGAACCAAGACGCGAGAAGCCTGACGGATAGTTGCAGCTGGTAAGAAATGTAAAAGTGTAGTTTACGAGTGAGCGACGACAGCAATGGAATTTCATGTCATGTACTATTCATGCAACACAAAGGACTCGTCGCTCACGCTGAACAATGGTGCAATTCTTTTCTCAACTTGAGGGGGAGAAGCAGAGCTTTTACGAACTTATATGTGCAGTCTACCGAAATGCTTCAGACAGCAAACATGCAGCAGGTTTTCCTACAAGAAACTGTAGATCGCTGCATGTGAAACGGGAGGAAAAAAACAACAGTTCAGTCCGGTTTCTGTCAGTGGAACAAACTACACACAAACCGTCGTCTGAAACACATCCGGAGGACATGAAGCAACATTTGCATGTATTTGGTGTCCACACAGAGTCACGGGACAATCACCCGGGGGTTTAACCTCCTCAGTGTTCCACCATGGCAGCGTTTCCTGAAGGGAGAATGTGCTGGTGAAGCTGCAGAAAAAGCAACGCGGGCTCATAAACTACGACATCTTACTGAGAAATAGCAAAAAAGATAAATTGCTTTTGCCATCCAAGTAAATCTGCTAAACCCCCTAAAGCCTCAGTTTTGATGCTGAAATATTTTATTAGGGGCTCAGCAAAAAAACAGAGGTATTATTAAATATTATAATATTATTCTAAGCTCCTTTAAAAGGTTTCCTGCGATACAGTAACCTCAAGTCACACAAGTCATATTTGCACATACAGCGTGGACTGTGGGTGGCAAAACGTATGTAGCTTGAGGGAGAAAAGAAGGAAGGAAAACATACATATAACTCTACTGGCCTGGATTGGCATGCTGGTCTCTAATAGATACATTATGAGGAAAAAAAAGGGGAGCTCATTGACATAATGTGCAAGTTCGAAAACATCACACAATTCATCTGAATTGGCCCGTGCAGCAACACTTGGTGTCCGACAGCCGCCAACAAGGATCGCGTTGTTCCGGCGAGACGCCTCCGTGAGATTCAAAATCAGCTAAATCAAAAAACTCGCATTCATACAGCTGCTGCACGCATGCCACACTCCGACCCACACACTCCGCCACTTATGTCTGTGCAACTCCCCCAGCCGTTTCCATAGCAACACCCACCCGCCACCCGCCAGCTCCACCGCGAGCCGCCTCCCCTCCGTCGTGGCTTTGAGAAACCCACTCGCCCCAAACGGTGGAGCTGGCGGTCCGGCTGCACGGGCACAGGCGGCTTTTAGGAGGCAAAGCGAGGCGGCCGTGAGTTCGTAAACCTCGGAGAGGATTCGCCGCGGCGAGCGCGTGCAGAACCCCCGCTGGGGGAAGAAGGCGGCTAACCTGAGCGCCGATGTGGATGTTTTTGGTGTCTCTTAAGGCAGATAAGCAATCAAGAGTTTAACCAAAGAAAGAGGGAAGGAAGCATGATTGGAGAAGGGAGTGTGTGAGGGGTTGAATCCATCAACAGAAGAGACGAGGTGAAGGAGAACAAAGAGTCATTTCGTTGCCTTGTAAACAACTACGGGAGCAGTGAATGTGAGCTATTTGAGATGCACTCCATCTTCCAGAAAATCCATAATCCTGTTTGATACATCATGTGGTCGGTCCTCTTCAAATCAGTACTTTTCAATCCTTTTCAGTTCCAACGCTATTATTCATCTTAATACTTTGCTCTTTAGTGTCCTCATCAAACATCGGACAACACTGCAGCCACGCTAGCAGCTCTGCTGGCTCAGCTAAACAAAATATTGGAATAAACTAAATTCCGTCTCGGTGATGGGACAAAAAGTCAGAAATGAGCTCCTGTCCTGAGTGTCCTGGTAATTCATTCAATAGTGAAAAGACGCCGCTTGGCTCCGGAGTCGAGCTGACAGCAGAGAAGGGATGAGGAGTCGGATATCATCGTTCACGGGCGACGACGAACAGCGATGAGCAAAGACGTCAATCAGCATCTCGTGGGTGTTTTTACAGATAGAGAAAATCAATGCTCATAGAAACCGGGCGGCACTTAATGCACAAGACTTTTAGGCCCAATGGGCCTTACGACGGGTTTTTTGTCTCGAAAAAAACAAACTAATTTAATTTCTGGTTCGAGTAAATATAATTACTTTATATGAGCGGTGGCGATAAATCCGTTTACATCTTTGAATTCTGTAGCTCACCTTGTTTAGTGCAGGTTTTTAAATGACGTTCATTCATTTCCAACTGAAATGCTAAACTGTGCTGTACCTGTACACTATGAAGCGTCTGTAACCCTTCAGCTGCTCCCGCTGGCTTCCATGCCAGACAGTCAATCAGGTGTTTGAATGGCGTCTTATTCTCGTTCATCTGATCCACAAAGATATTTTTCCCCAGGCAGCAACATAAACTTGGATCTCAAGTGATCTGTCGCACATGGTGTCCACGAAGCAGATGGGGACTGAATAATGTCTGGGTTCTGGGCACAAGACGACACTCCAGAACACTTTTGGATCCAAGCATGTGATGATGCCAGCTAATAGCTGAGCTCGGAACCACAAGTCAGAATAAATGATTGAATACACAAACACATCCAGTGTTTAGTTTTCAGTGTTTTAGTGTTTAGTTAAAATGGATTTATGCCTGACTACCGTGGGATTGGCTGCATTCAGACAAGTACAGCGCACACACACAGAAAATTATTAGATTAACCTCTCGAAATCCCCCAAAAATAAATTACAAATTGAACAGCGATTAGGAAAAAATTAAAAAAAGAATATAAAATAAAACAAAGATATCTTACTCTCACACAAAAGCCATCGGTTGTCCGTCAATTCCAAGGGAAAAAACCCACCTTGACCATGAAGTTGCCGTCCTCCTCGGGAGTCACCATGACAACGGAGTCGTGCAGCTTCTCGTCGAAGTGGACGTGGGACGGGGGCCCGGCGCCGAGGGGCTCCTCGGCGAAGCGCACGCCTCCTGCCTTCGCGCAACCTGAGCGAGAAGGTCGGACACGAAGGGAGATGAGACGCGTCGCACCGGCCGCACTCCTTTCAGAGGCACCGATAGAGTGTGAAGCGCGCAAACCTGCTGCGGCAGTTTAAAGCAAGTAAAGACTCAGCTGGTCCCTCAGAAGGTTTGATGAAGAGACGTCCAGCCGAGACGGATTGTGATAAAAAGTGATACTTTGCCTGCAATGAATCCACTTGGCTCCCACTTCTGGAGATGTTGGCTTTTCAAAAAAAACTAAACTAAACTAAACCAATAATTTCATCCTCTGAATCCACTAAATAAAGATGGTGGACTTTAAAGTGCCAGCAAATAATATCTGCAATCAAAATCCCCATTTGTCGTCTGTGCAAGTTTCCACGGGATGTTTAAATTAAATAAAGTTTAAGCTCCACACGTTGTTTTCCTTTAGGTTTCAGTGCTCTCCCATGACACCGACACACAGGGATCCTTGTTGTTCTCCTGCCCAGGGATTCTTTCTACAAATAAACCTCCTCCCAAAAACAACAATTCTTTTTTTTTTTTTAAGAATTTCTGGGTCCTGATTACAAAGCATCACTTTCCCAGACGAGAGAAAAGCAACTAAGCGCTAAACCGCATACAATTTGCTATATTTACATAACCGCTGTCCTCATACATCACTTAAACATCCATTTACCAAAGAAAAAAAAAAAGGATTCCATATTATAGGACTAAATAAAATAGAATAAATTGTACGGTCACACACAGGGGGACTTCTGCTCTGGAAATAGTGCTAAAATGGATCATTTGAAATCAATCCTATCCATACTGACGACAACAGAGACTAATCATGTAAAATGAATCCCGGAGATCAAATCCAAAGCAACATAATGAATTTCTTATTACAGCACACAAAGCTTTAATTTAATTCCACGTCGCTGGAACAATCCCGTCTTACTCTGCCCAGAACATCTCTCGTTTGAAGGGTTGAAAAGCTGCTCTTATCATTTTTCAGTCGATCGTACCTCAATGTTTGAAAGCTTCAAATACGTTGTTCTTAATACCGAAGAGGCACTTAAGTAGTCTACTGTGTATAATTCCACCAGTGCTTTTAAATTGAATTCATGCGCCGAATGATTTTGTTGCAGTGAACCACAGGTCATTACTGCCCCGCTGGCATTAAACTTTTATAAAGACTCATATTAGAGATTAGATATCTTTGCTGTAAGAAATCTGGGTCACAATAATGAGCTCAGGAGTTACATAATGTTCCATATGTGCAGGGGTATATATATATATATATATATATATATATATTATATATATATTATTAATGGGTCTCTTCCAACTGTGTGTGTACCCAACCTTTATTGTAAATGTGATATATTTGGGGGTTTTCAAAAGTTGCTTTTCATTATTTTCTCAGCTCAATTTCTAACACAACAATTCTTTTTTTTTTTTTAATCTAAATGCTTTGGAGTTCAGAAAGATGACTTTCATTTTCTATCAATCTCCCTGAATTTCCTCTCCAAAAAAGGGCAGAAAACATTGAAGTAAAACTATCAGTGGCATCAATGCAAAGACTCCCAACTGCATCGATGTGTGTCAGGCGCGTCTTCACGATACAGAGATCTGTTGCCTTCATAGACGGGTCAGATAATCTCAGACTAGTACACACACACACACACACACACACACACACTTTCCCTTAGCTGACCCATACTCCCACAAATAAACCTGCACATGTGTTTGTGCATGCAACCCCACTGAACTGGCTTATTTCAGATTAATCTCTACTTCAATCCATCGACTAATCTGTCGGCCGGTACATCCACCTCTGCTCTGCTGAATATCATCGTGCTCTCGTCCCCCTCGGGTCTCTCTTTTACGAAAGGTTGAAACGTTGGTTTGAAAAGAGAACCCCCCCCCATGGCCAAGTTCCCTCCCTGTTTTGATAACCTCGAGTCATCTTCCCTCCCACTGTGCATCACAGGCGCCTCCATCGGATGAAAACAAACCGCCAACAAAACGCACCTGGGACCGTGTGTAGAAGAGAAATTAAATGATGTGTCAAGTACCGTGCTCGTCTCCATCTTTACCGTCGCTCTTCTTCTTGCCGCTCCGCAGAGCCATTCAGTCGTTTGCTTGTCAAACTCCGCGGTGGAACATTTTGCAGCACAAGCGGCCGTTACGCAGAGCCATGACGTAATATTTGGGATTATGACGATTTGGGATTCAAATGGCTGCGAACTGCGAGTCCCTCCCCCAAAACAACAACCCGGCCTCTCTTTCGCTTCTCCGAGAGACGTCTGACAACACAAGGAGCGAGCGGTTAGGAATCCTTCCAACTCTTCCCAAAAGGCGGCGGCACGTTCCCACCTCGCCGACTCTTCCTGCGGCGTATCAGTCCGCCCCAGACGCATGAGAAGCACCGACGGGAAGTCCGTGGTGATCCTCCCTTTGCGTCGCCGCTCATTCCGTGACCTTCTCAGAGAGAAGAAAAAGGCCCGCGGAGAGGTGCCGGAGGACAGCAAACACCCCGCGTCCCCCGGGGGGAGGAGATGAGGCGCGTTCGTGGTGGTGTAAACATCCCAATGAGTCATCTACACCTCCTCACCGGGCCGCTTTCTCCTTCCCTGCTTTTGTTGCGGAAATAAATCGGCCAAGATGCTGACGACGACCAAGAGACCCCGCCGCGGGGAGAAAATTGATTGTGAATTTGAATCTGATCGATTATCCTTCCTACACGAGCCCCCTCGGGGCGTCTTGAAGGTGAAAAGGCTCAATGAGAGTATATCAATCACAGTATGTTAATCATGTCATCTGGTTTCCTTTTCTTCTAAGAAAAAAAAAGGAGACATTAGTGGAAGCTTAATGTGCCTGAGCAGATAATATAGGACACAGTTGCAGGTATGATGAGAGTAGAAGAGCTGCTCCTTTCTGCTGGGTTCCTTTCTGTTAGTAAGTGGACATGTTACATCTCCAAAGATGAATTTATTCAATTCATTCTGTAGAAACACAATTGATCCAAACAAAAACTGGAAACTGGATCTTGAGACAGCGGCTTAGCCGAGTGCAGCCTACGTGTTAGATATCAAATAATGGCTTTCTAGTTTGAATCTACGCGCTGGCTGCAGCTTAAAATGCTTTCTACAGCTTCCCATAGTTGTAGGAAAACACTTTGTGCTACTGAAAAATCTGGAAGAAGTTCAAACGTGAAATGTTTGTGCACATAACAGTAATTACTCGCAGTCAATGAAAGCAATAATGAAAACTCACTCTTCTTTGCAGCGGCCATGTCACAAGAATTGGTCCAGTACCGACACACTCGGACACAGACTGTCACAGCGTTGTCATCTCAGCAGTCTGACCGCAGAACAACCCTGCAAAAGCATTTAGGATGGGGGGGGGAGACAATGAGTGAGAAGCATTTAGCAGTATGAAGACAGTGGGAGAGACAAAGAGACCGAAACAAAGGGCGATGATTGGATCAACAAAAGAGCACGGGAAGATAAGGCCGGGGGGAAAAGGTCGAGGAGAGCAAAATAAATGGGGAAGTAACGGCCCGCCACATTAAGCTTCCCCGGGTGTTTTTCTTTCTAAATACACCACCGCAGGTTCGCCCCGCCAGTCAGACGAGAGCACAGATGTGCTGAATAGCGGTCAATCCAGGAGTACCAGACACTCCCAGCAGAGACTTCAATTAGAGGAAAACAACAAAACCGTTTAAGAGGATTACCTAAGGGGCCGAGGCTGCTGCCGCCGGCTTCGCACAGATGGAAAAACGCTCACCGCGTCTCAGGGAGGTGCTTAGGATAAATATCAGAATAAAGCCGGGAAATAACTGGCTGTGCGGATAGTGGGCAGGTCTACGCAACGCAACGAACAGGAGTCAAGAGAGCAGCCTTTACTGATGTCAGAACATCCTGCAGCGTAAAAGGTTGGAATCAGCAAAAGATCGCCTCAACATCAGGGAATATAGGTGCTGTTTTGGGGCCCTAAAAGGGGTCACTAGGATAAAAAAAAAAACACTAGTGAGATTTAAATGGACACGCCCCCACCAGTGCTGATTGACCTTTTGTGGCACCAGTCATGAAGTTATGTCACTAAAGCTTAAACAAGTATGGGATTCGTTAATTAATTGTCAAGCAAATATGGAAAAAACTAATTCTCCAATAATTCGCTCGAGCTTTCAAATGTGAATCCTAGCTGTAAGTATTAATCTTCCATGATGTTAAATTAAATCTCTCTGTTTTGACGATTTGCCATCAGTGTTTTCTGGCATTGTGAACGTAAATAAGGAATATATTTATATTTAGCGTATATATTTAAACTGAACACTATTCATCCTGCATGCAGTACTGTAGCTCATGTTCTATATCTGCCCACTCAGTCAGCTTTGTACTCACATGTTTGTCTATTCATGCTCTATATGGGCACTGAGTGGGCTATCAGCTGTAACTTCAGTAGCAATGGTATACAAGCTATTTATTGAATCGACATTAAATAATCCCAGCTGCAAGGACGGGACTTGTTTCGGTCATAACTGTGCATGTTGACATTCATTTTTTTTTAATTCTTCTTTGGATCAATAACACAGTAGATAATAACACCTTCTAACACGACATCACTGCGACTGAAGTACGACAATACGCATTAGAAGTAACTTTACTCGCTGTGGTTTGCACAGTATTTACGGTACATGCACACGCGCACGTAAACGTTACAGCTCAAACCGTCGCAATTTCCCTCAAAAGTTGACGCGTAAACTGCAAACTTACCTTTGTATCTTACTTTTTTGTAACCTACGGAAGGCGACACTCGCACGTCTAATCGCACAGATCACCGGGATCCGCAGACGTGTTGTTTGGCTTGGGTTGTCCGCCTGGATCCACCAGCAGCCACAGACACGAGCGCACTGAAGGACCTCCACCCGCCGCTTCCCTCGTGGATCCTTGCGCCTCTGCACTTTCCCCAGCGTCAATTTCCGCATTTGATCACGTGGACTTGTCCCTGGAGTCCCGCGCGCGGCTTCTCAGCTTACCACCCGCGATTTCATTCTTTTTTTTTTTTTTAAATGTTTAAACGGATAACAGACCAAAGAGACAACCGCGCCGACCCTCTCTAGAGCCGACACCGTTTAGCCGAAAAAACGACATCAAAGCTGTAATGCTCCGGTTGGCGTATCTCTCCATCTCCACCCACTAGCCCTCTGTTGCAGTCCACCTGCGCCACCTACTGGTACTGTGTGGCCTCAGGCAACAACTTCATTCCTTTACAGTGTCTGTATTGTTTATAATGCATTTGAATAATTGAGAGAAAAAAGCGACTAGATAGACCTGTTCAGTACGGACAAAGAGGATAGTGTAACGTAAATGTTTATAATCTGGCGATCGTTGACATCAGCCATTATCAACTATTATGTAGATGGTTGAAAAGTCGTTGCTAGTTACATATAGCAAGATTAAAAACTGGTTATACTGCGATATACTACTGATGCATACTGCAAATTGTGTTATTACTGGTATGCTGTAATAGCACTCAAGTAATGTTTGAGAGGCCCAAGGTCCCAGACGCCCGGCTAGCTCAGTCGGTAGAGCATGAGACTCTTAATCTCAGGGTCGTGGGTTCGAGCCCCACGTTGGGCGCATTTCTTTATTTAACTTCGTCTTGTGTTTTCTTTTAAATTTTCCAGAAGTGTTCTATTTTTACGATACACGTCATTTGGATTCAATTTGGGGATAATGGTGTGCACTGGTTAAAACCAGTTCTATTAGTTATTGCTGATGTTGGCATCTCTGCTTAGCAACAGTATAACGATACTAACATGCAAGGCCAAGACGTATGAGACAGTTTTGGCTTAATATTGTCTATATCCAGGGCCTGACATTGGCACCCGCTCACCCGCCAAATACGGGTAGATTTCGACGGTGGCGGGTAAACCAGTCTCTCTCACTGGCCGGGTGCAATTTTAATTGTGGGACAGTTTTGCGATTGCGATAGTATGTCCCTCCAGGATTGCCGTAGAGGCAAAAGAGTGGTTGTTGGGTGAAGGCGGTTATTAATGTGTCATAAGTGCATCATCCACGAACCCAGAACGCTCGGTGTCATTGGTGACAGCGGTGGTTCATGTAAACCGACTACGGACTACGACGACGTGAGTGCGCACTTCCTTAGTATAGCTCAGCTGTCTCAGTTTAGCTCGCAGGCTGAAACCGCTTCGGAGATGAAGACCCGTTTAAAAGCTCAGTGCGACGGCGGTAGGCAGACGGTCGGCCATCAGAGAGATCCATGTGGACCTGCCTGCTCCTTTTTCTAAAAGTCTTCTTTCTCTGAGTGGCTAGTGAACTTTGGAAAACCATTAGCCACAGTGGCCAGTGCCCAATGAGCAGACCAGATGTTGAGTTTGGCCCGATTTATGCTGCACTGCCAGGACGGAAGCCACTGCCCGGCTAGCTCAGTCGGTAGAGCATGAGACTCTTAATCTCAGGGTCGTGGGTTCGAGCCCCACGTTGGGCGATCACCTTTTAGTTAATGTAATAAGGATTGTCAGAAAGGTCTCTGTGGCGCAATTGGTCAGCGCGTTCGGCTGTTAACCGAAAGGTTGGTCGTTCAAGCCCACCCAGGGACGTTTTGAGATTGTAAAGAAATGCAGACTTAACATAATTTATAAAGACACTTTATGTCTTAATGAATTGGGGGAGTGGCCTTGCCATTGGGCGTAATTACCCAAGTCGACGATCAGAAAGGTCTCTGTGGCGCAATTGGTCAGCGCGTTCGGCTGTTAACAGAAAGGTTGGTGGTTCAAGCCCACCCAGGGACGTTTTGAGATTGTAAAGAAATGCAGACGTAACATAATTTATAAAGACACTTTATTTCTTAATGAATTGGGGGAGTGGCCTTGCCATTGGGCGTAATTACCCAGATAGGCGATAAGAAAGGTCTCTGTGGTGCAATTGGTCAGCGCGTTCGGCTGTTAACCGAAAGGTTGGTCGTTCAAGCCCACCCAGGGACGTTTTAAGATTGTAAAGAAATGCAGACGTAACATAATTTATGAAGACGCTTTATTTCTTAATGATTTGGGGGAGTGGCCTTGCCATTGGGCGTAATTACCCAAATCAGCTGTCAGAAAGGTCTCTGTGGCGCAATTGGTCAGCGCGTTCGGCTGTTAACCGAAAGGTTGGTCGTTCAAGCCCACCCAGGGACGTTTTGAGATTGTAAAGAAATGCAGACGTAACATAATTTATAAAGATACTTTATTTCTTAATGAATTGGGGGAGTGGCCTTGCCATTGGGCGTAATTACCCAGATAGGCGATAAGAAAGGTCTCTGTGGCACAATTGGTCAGCGCATTCCGGCTGTTAACTGAAAGGTTGGTGGTTCAAGCCCACCCAGGGACGTTTTGAGATTGTAAAGAAATGCAGACGTAACATAATTTGTGAAAATGCTTTATTTCATAATGAATTGGGGGAGTCGCCTTGCCGTTGGGCGTAATTACCCAAATCGGCGATCAGAAAGGTCTCTGTGGCGCAATTGGTCAGCGCGTTCGGCTGTTAACCGAAAGGTTGGTGGTTCAACCCCACCCAGGGACGTTTTGAGATTGTAAAGAAATGCAGACGTAACATAATTCATAAAGACGCTTTATTTCTTAATGAATTGGGGGAGTGGCCTTGCCATTGGGCGTAATTACCCAAATCAGCGAACAGAAAGGTCTCTGTGGCGCAATTGGTCAGCGCGTTCGGCTGTTAACCGAAAGGTTGGTGGTTCAACCCCACCCAGGGACGTTTTGAGATTGTAAAGAAATACAGACTTAACATAATTTATAAAGACACTTTATTTCTTAATGAATTGCGGGAGTGGCCTTGCCATTGGGCGTAATTACCCAAATCAGCTGTCAGAAAGGTCTCTGTGGCGCAATTGGTCAGCGCGTTCGGCTGTTAACCGAAAGGTTGGTGGTTCAACCCCACCCAGGGACGTTTTGAGATTGTAAAGAAATGCAGACGTAACATAATTCATAAAGACGCTTTATTTCTTAATGAATTGGGGGAGTGGCCTTGCCATTGGGCGTAATTACCCAAATCAGCGAACAGAAAGGTCTCTGTGGCGCAATTGGTCAGCGCGTTCGGCTGTTAACCGAAAGGTTGGTGGTTCAACCCCACCCAGGGACGTTTTGAGATTGCAGACGTAATATAATTTATAAAGACGCTTTATTTCTTAATGAATTGGGGGAGTGGCCTTGCCATTGGGCGTAATTACCCAAATCGGCGATCAGAAAGGTCTCTGTGGCGCAATTGGTCAGCGCGTTCGGCTGTTAACCGAAAGGTTGGTGGTTCAACCCCACCCAGGGACGTTTTGAGATTGTAAAGAAATGCAGACGTAACATAATTCATAAAGACGCTTTATTTCTTAATGAATTGGGGGAGTGGCCTTGCCATTGGGCGTAATTACCCAAATCAGCGACCAGAAAGGTCTCTGTGGCGCAATTGGTCAGCGCGTTCGGCTGTTAACCGAAAGGTTGGTGGTTCAACCCCACCCAGGGACGTTTTGAGATTGTAAAGAAATGCAGACGTAACATAATTCATAAAGACGCTTTATTTGTTAATGAATTGGGGGAGTGGCCTTGCCATTGGGCGTAATTACCCGAATCGGCGATCAGAAAGGTCTCTGTGGCACAATTGGTCAGCGCATTCGGCTGTTAACTGAAAGGTTGGTGGTTCAAGCCCACCCAGGGACGTTTTAAGATTGTAAAGAAATGCAGACGTAACATAATTTATGAAGACGCTTTATTTCTTAATGATTGGGGGGAGTGGCCTTGCCATTGGGCGTATTTACCCAGATAAGCGTTTAGAAAGGTCTCTGTGGCGCAATTTGTCAGCGCGTTCGGCTGTTAACCGAAAGGATGCTCGTTCAAGCCCACTCAGGGACGTTTTGAGATTGCAGACGTAACATAATTTATGAAGACGCTTTATTTCTTAATGAATTGGGGGAGTGGCCTTGCTATTGGGCGTAATTACCCAAATCAGCTGTCAGAAAGGTCTCTGTGGCGCAATTGGTCAGCGCGTTCGGCTGTTAACCGAAAGGTTGGTCGTTCAAGCCCACCCAGGGACGTTTTGAGATTGTAAAGAAATGCAGACGTAACATAATTTATAAAGACGCTTTATTTCCTAGTGAATTGGGGGGAGTGGCCTTGCCATTGGGCGTAATTACCCAAATCAGCTGTCAGAAAAGGTCTCTGTGGCGCAATTGGTCAGCGCGTTCGACTGTTACCGAAAGGTTGCTCGTTCAAGCCCACCCAGGGACGTTTTGAGAATTGTAGAGAAATGCTGACTTAACATGATTTATAAATTCTCTTTTATGTCTTAGGGAATGCGGGGAGTTGCCTCGCCATTGGGCGTAATTACCCAAATAGACGATCAGAAAGGTCTCTGTGGCGCAACTGGTCAGCGCGTTCGGCTGTTAAGCGAAAGGTTGCTCGTTCAGGCCCACCCAGAGACGTTAAAAGATTGCAGACGTAATATAATTTATAAAGACGCTTTATTTCTTAATGAATTGGGGGAGTGGCCTTGCCATTGGGCGTAATTACCCAAATCGGCTGTCAGAAAGGTCTCTGTGGCGCAATTGGTCAGCGCGTTCGGCTGTTAACCGAAAGGTTGGTGGTTCAAGCCCACCCAGGGACGTTTTGAGATTCTAAAGAAATGCAGACATAACATAACTTATAAAGACGCTTTATTTCTTAATGAATTGGGGGAGTGGCCTTGCCATTGGGCGTAATTACCCAAATCGGCTGTCAGAAAGGTCTCTGTGGCGCAATTGGTCAGCGCGTTCGGCTGTTAACCGAAAGGTTGGTCGTTCAAGCCCACCCAGGGACGTTTTGAGATTGTAAAGAAATGCAGACTTAACATAATTTATAAAGACACTTTATGTCTTAATGAATTGGGGGAGTGGCCTTGCCATTGGGCGTAATTACCCAAATCGACGATCAGAAAGGTCTCTGTGGCGCAATTGGTCAGCGCGTTCGGCTGTTAACCGAAAGGTTGGTGGTTCAAGCCCACCCAGGGACGTTTTGAGATTGTAAAGAAATGCAGACGTAACATAATTTATGAAGACGCTTTATTTTC